GTAAAAAAATTATTTTTTGTTTTCTTCTAAAAAATTAATTTTAATTTTTGAGAGAGAATATAAAATACAAGATAACTGAATAGAAAAAAAAATTTCGCTGTAATTTTCTATAATGAACCGAGAGCTCACATTTGGTGTTTTCTTGCATCTGCTCTAACTTAAATCCCTTCTATTATAGCTTAGACTTACTGTGAAACAATGAGAAGCTACATTTAAGAAAATTTTAAGTACCTTTTAAACTAAACATGTTGTTAAAAGACTTTTGATAAAAATTGGATGTGAATTATTTAAGAAATTTACTGAAATTATATTGAAATCTATCTAATAGTTATTAATGAGAGCAATAATTATAATTATTAAAAACTAAATATTATTGTTTTACATTACGACTTTATAATTATAATGTTGTTTTTGCCGAAATTCGTTGTGAATATAACAGCGGATAATTGATACTACTGCAGAAAAGAAAAAGCTATTTTTTCTTACGTTCTTATTTTAATATTTAGTGTAAAAATACTTATGAACATTAATAAATTATTTTCAATCTGAATTCCATGTTAATAAACATGAAAACAACAAGATAGAAAAAATTTCTCGTGAATGAATGCAGTAACGTGTATAAATTACTATAATACAGGACAGGCAGATCGTTTCTAAGGAGTCGGTATTTGGAATGTTTTTTTTTTCTTTTCTTTTTAACACTGAATCTAATAGAAAGGCAGAAAGATATTTCTCGCTCTTTTCGAATTATGCAAAAGCACGGGAAACCTCCTCTGATGATCCTCCTGTTATCTCTTACTATAATGTTCTAAGAGTTAGCAAATGAAGTAAAGAAAAATAGCGAGAGGAAAAAATTGCATCACACTCGTCACTACATTTTTTTTCTCACTATCAGCGATTCCCTCTCGCAGTGGCAAAAAGAGCCCCTCAGTAAACCTCGATGTCTTCTTATCGAGCCCACGTTAAAAGGTTAAAATAACTCAAAAACTAATAAATTTACTCTTATTTAAGTTATATCAGAGGCGGCAATGCTCTCTTTTCACAATCGCTCGCCAACCATCGATGTTATCTAAGCCTACTTCACTTGATCATCTCACCTTTTCCAGAATTAAAATAATATACATACGTTAAAAAAAATTTTTAAAAAAAGTTATAATTTCATCCTGTGTTAATAAATCAAATATGGAAATTCAAATCAGAAAAGCGTCGTTACTATTTCTTTTACATTTATTTATTATTCTATGACATTTCTTAATTTCAAAGCAGTGTTCGTTTCGATTAATTTACACTCCCTGTTTCATAATATTTTAACTCTCATCCTTCAATTTTCCAAAAAAGTGTAATCAACACCTGTTACTTTATTATTATTATTATTTTTTTGCTCCTTGGGGACAAAATAAAAATCATTATTTATACGCTTTCAAAACTTGAGAAAAGGATGAATTTAGTAGTCTGACATAACGAACATAAACTGCGCCGTGGGGGAAATTTAAAAAAAAAGGCACTACGTTCGGGCAACTAAGCTGCGTAGTGGGATAATTACGAAAGTTATCCTTCCGTTTGGACTAATAAATGATCAAATTTCTTGTTTATGGTAACCCAAGCTGAAACCTTCTCTCTTCTAGGAGGTATTGCGTGGGAGCATCCTGTAATTCTAGGTGTAAGTTTCTCTACATACATTCCTATGAGGCTAACACATGAATGATTTAACAGGGACTTAAATTGGATCAAATTAGGAAAAGTTAGGAGCACTCAATATTTTCAGTAATTTGTTTTTAGAATCACTGAACAATAAAGCGAGAAGGGTCAAAAGGGCTCAGTTGTCTTTCTAGGGTTAATGAAAATTTCCCCAAAACTGAACTGAATGATGAAAGACCCTACTTTTTTTTAAACTTCAGATTTATTAGACTTAGAAATTCCTATTATATTTATTTCAAAAGAATACTTTTTATTTCAATAAGTTCAAAAACTGTAACAGTAAATATTAAAGAGACCAGAAAGTAATGACAGAAATTTTTTGAATAAGTATTTATTTTTAATCAATTTAGGGTTCATCTTCAATATCAACGACCTTTTGTCACCTAGAATACAAGTTTTTAATGCAGATTAATAAAAATTAATTTCGTTTTGTGCAAAATATTTAAAAAGGGCATTTTAGTCATCTTCCAAATTTTGAAATATTTTGCAACTTAGGTAAGTTCTAGTGATCAAAATCCGATAGCAGGTGGGTATGGTGGGTGAAGTAGTAGCTCCTACACTCTTCATTTAACTTTTTGTTAGGGTTTGGTTTCCTCAGTGGCCCCCATCCCCCCTAGCTCTTGGGCGCATTCTTGGGCAAACTCTAAATCCCCCCCAAACTATTCGTTTTATTTAGTGTAAAAATCCCCCCCAAGCTTTAAGTGGGCGCATCGTGCGCCCACCTTCCCCCCTGGTGAGGGCCCCTGGGTTTCCTAATCGGTACTAGTCGGGAAAAGCTTGCGTTACTACATTTATGAATTTCAAAAAGCGCACAATGCCGGATATGTACCTCTTCTGGTATTTGGCTGAGCATTTTATCATATATTGGAGGGGGGAGGGAGGGAAACGAGTAAACAGGTTACTGTATTATAAAAATATCGTTGGCTCGACTTTAAAGCGCACTGTGAGCTGATAAATGACAAACAAATATCTAAATGCGCATAAAAGATGTTACTATCTGGTCCCCGTGATACATTAGAATAGTAATAACTTCGTTTTTATTAGTTATTTCACATCCTCTATTTATTTTATACAAGAATGAATTGTCTGGTCATATATAATTTAAATACTTTTAAACTTAATTTAAAAATAACGGTCAAATTAAATACAGTAAATGTAATGTTTCGTTAATTTTTAAAATGGATTAAAATTGTTTAAAGTATATAAGATTCCACTTTACCCATGAGCCTCAGGCACCATTAGTTTTTAATCCGGTCCTGCATGATTTTGTGCTCATGATTCATGAGTTCGTGAGTCATGAATTCATTATTAATCGTTTTAGTCATACTTTGATGGTTCATTATTTATTTGAGTTCTTCCTGAAAATGTATTTACTTTTCAGATTTGGCACATGAGCATAATATTTTTATATTTTAAAATACTATTCATATTTAATTTACTAAATGTCTGTAAAACAATATTATGAGTTTATATTACCTTTTATGATTGTATTACTCTGCATTTCGTAATCAACACTTTTATATTATAATATCTTTATAATATAATATTTTTATGATATAATTTTTTTATAGCAATATTTATATATTTTAAGAAAAACTATTCAAATTCAATTTACTAAATGTTTGTAAAACATAATTGTATGTACTGAAAGTTTTTTCTATTATTCTATTACTCTGCACTTCTATAACGATATTTTTATATTAATATTTTCATATTAATATTTTCATGTTTTAAAATACTGTTTAAATTCAAATTACTAAATATCTGTAAAACATTATAATACGTGCTGAAATTACTTTCTATGATTTCAGTACTCTGGGCATCTATGACAATATTTTTATAAAATGATATTTTACAGTAATGTTTTTATATTTTGTATTCAAATAATACTATTCAAATTTAATGTACTAAACGTTTCTATAATACTATACAAATTTAGTATACTAAACGTCTGTAAAACATTATTAATAAAAATTATAAATATGTTAATTTTAATTGCGTTAATTTGAACTTCATGACAAATCCTTAATCACTGACAGAACGACTGTTAAAAAAAGGGTTTGTTAATTGAAAAGGACTTCACCATAACTTTTCATGGTGTTATATATATATTTTTTATCTTTAAGTTATTAAAACTAATAAAAATAAGTGCTAAAGTTACTAACTACTTCAAGTTTCTGCTGTATATATCCATATAATATTTTATTTTATATTGTTTTTCACTTTTTACAATAATTTCGAATTTTTTTATTAAGTTTTATTATTATGAATAATTTTAATATTTAATTGTATATTTTTTGATAAAGTAAGTATTCTATCGATTATCAATTCTATAAATTAAAAAAGAATATGATTGAAAAATATCACTCAACATCAATTGGGAAAGAGCACTTCAAAGGTTATGAGAGCCCACGAGAAAATATATTTCACTTTTGAATAGTATTTTTTTTTAATAATGATTAAATTAATATTGTTTATATAGTTTTACCACTTGAGTTTTGCTATCTTGTTGAAAATATTTTATTTATAACTCATTATTATATGAAATCACGAAGTAAAAAAAAAAAGAGGTTTCAACAATATTGATATTATGAAATGTCCAGGAATAATAAATATAATGAAACTTATTTCATTTCTTAACTTGAAAAAAATATTACTAATATTCATAGATGAATTTTGAATATCTCATTCGTACACAATTATTCTAGTAAAAAAATAAACTAATGAGTAAAAATAGGTTAAATGAAATTACTTGCGAATTATATAATTTCATTTAAATACTAACAGATAGCGCCACAATAGCCTCTTTCGTTTTAATTTTTTTTTTGGATTGTATATATTTTTCTTCTGCATGGGTACACTGACATCTAGTGGTGAAATTGGACAATAAAGTCAAATGTTGAACTTTTGAAATGAAATTGAAAGCTTTTATCTATGAAAGAGAGGTTAATTTTTGAAAAAAGGTGAAGAAAAACAGAATAAAATAATTAGTATGCTGTAGAAAATGCAGCAATTCGGTCAACTCTTTTTCCATACTTTAAAATTTGATTTCTTATTCTTTTATCTTTTGAATTATATAACATAATTAGTTCAGTTTACATGTATAAATATATAGTATAGTCTGAATAAATAAAAGAAATCGAAGGTCATTCTTTTTATTACATAATTAGGTACGATAATTTATTTCTAATCAACGACCCGAGTTAACTTCTGAGCTATAATAGCAAAGGTCATAGGTTCGGAGCATGGGGGCGTATTCAACAAGAAGTTCGTCTGCTCATTGCGTCACGGCACATGCGCAATCACTTTATTTATATACGGAAATTCAAGCGAGGTAATATCGTGAAATTTGAATAAACAAATGTAAACACAAGTGATATGCACTTGTATTAGACTAGAAGCCCTCGTTATCTCTCTTTTCGTTTGTTTCTTCTAATTTTTCAATTGAAACCATGAATTTATTCCGCATGTCCAAGACATTTTGGTTAGGTAAAAACTATCCATATTTATACTTTGATTTTTATAAATATACAATTTAAACTTAAAAATATACAATTTTAATCTTGTATTTTATTTATGTGATTTATCTTCCCTTTTATATTTTTTCTTACTTTCATAAGTTGTTTAAAAGGTAGAAGAAAATGGAGTTTATTGCGAAATAATTAATTTTTTTACCCATATGTAGCAACAACTTATAAATTGCTCGAGTTGTTTACACAGCAATAACTAGAACAATTTCTATGTCTTTTTAAATGAAATCGTCTTTTCTTCTTCTTAAAAAACCCCCTTTTTTACTATAAAAGTTGTTATTATCTTATTTGCTTAAGGTTTCTTTTAAATTATGTAAAATGAAAATAATAACAGACATAAGATGTGTTTTTTTTTTGTAACTTGCAGCCAGATGTTTCAGCAGTTCAACTACAATACCAAGCTTACCTGCACTTTCTTTTACACCTGAACCTTATAAGGTATAATTTTTGCTTTAATATTTCTTAAATATTATTTTTGATTTAATAAATGATTTAACAAAATGATCTTATGTAAATCATTCTTGCTTTGTAATGAAACTAGCTTTTCCTTTTATTTTATACTGCTTGATGAAAATGTTTCATAATTACAATATGTCTTTTTTAATCTATTTTATTGATCTTACATCTTTGGCTGTTGAATTCCATCATAATTTTTTCCAATGGTCTTTTAGCAATAAAGCTCCTGAAACAATTTTTAGATCAACTTGCAAAGATAATATCTTTGCACCATTTACACAGCGGAGGACATTGTTATTTCTTTTATTTCTAGGTTATTGTATTCATTCTATTGTGTTTTATGTGTTGAATTTTATATTATTAGTGTTATCTTTTCTGTTCAAATTAATAATCAACAGTATACTTATTAACATTCGCTCAGATAATATGACCAGACTGTGAAGCCAAATCAATGATGCTGAAATTATGATTTCTATTTAAATTAGGCTTCCTATTTTTAAATAAATATCTTGCAAGTTATTTGTAATAACATTCACTCGAAATTTATCAGAATCAAATAAAAAATAATTATCTTTTGAATAATTGTACATTTGAATATCTTTTTTTATTTATTTGCTTTGCAAACGATGAAATTAGCTTCTTGAAAATAGTGACTCATAGAATAAGTAATAAGTTAGCTATAACTTTCTTACTGGAAATCAGAAAGATAAGGCTATATAGGTATATATTCAGTCGGACCTCTATTTAACGAAGTCGCTAAATCCCGATAGTAAGTTCGTTATATGGTAAATTTGTTGAATGGAAAATCACCTTTTAAAATACATAAACAACACAAAACAGATTCTATATTCAAAAACACTAGGCATTAATTGATGCACTGTTATCTTGTAAACTATTATGTCCTATTTATTTTATAAATCTTAATCATCAAAGAAATTTGCGTGGAAAGCAAAAATAGAGCAAAACATTATCCAGTGTTTCACTATTATGCTACATACATTTTCACCTAAAATAAAAAGTTAAATTTATGTATAAAATTATAGCTGCATTTATTACAAAAGTAATTTTATACATACATTACCACATGCGTTCTTATGTTTAATTGCTACTGATAAAATCCTTTAACTTGAACTGAGTTTTTTATTTGAAATGCAAACAAAAAGGGAAAGAGATTTTACTGCTTTCTATAAAATAACTTTTAGAGAAAGCAGTAAAACATTACATAAAGCAGTGGCTTCGAAAATTAACTCATGGTCATTTCCCCCATAAAATGCGTTAACAAGTTTAAAGTGTTCTGAAATATTTCAGAAAATACAGAAAGTGAATCTCAATGAAAAGTTCGTTAAATAGAAAATTCATTTCGCTATTTGGAAGTTATTTTACGAAGAAATTTCCAAAATGTTCTTGGTTCTTCGAAGAAATTCTCAAAATGGAAGTTTGTTAAATAGAAGTCCGACTTTATGTATATATATATATTTTGTATTGGAGTCACCTTTTTAGCAGAAATAGTGAGGTATCACAGTGTATGCTGCAGATTCATTTTGGCTTTGCACACATAATTAAACCTATTTTTTTTTTAAAAAAAATTGTTGAGAAAAATTAAGTTTAACTATGAAGAAAACGATCTCACACTTTTTTTAAAATTTTTTCACAGCTTGTTATCATGTCACAGAATTCTCGTTAACTGACTATAACTGGTTTTTTTAATGAAAATTTGTAAGAAGGGATGCAACTTTGACAAAACCTTAGATTCTAAAGTATCTAAATAATTTAAAAAGAAAATACAAGACGGGACTTGCTCGATAATTCTGTGATATACATGTTGATTTATTTCAATAAGTAAAAAAAAATTTAAATTAATGTTTTCCATTTTAATTTAACTTGCAGAATTTTTCTTTTAAAAAAAATTTCAATTTATACCATTTCAATAAATTAAATTCAAATATTTTCTTTTGCATTGCAGTTATTTCATCATGTAGTTTGTATTTTATTTCATTGTGTGTCTTGTAGTGCAGTTATAACACTATTTGAACATTCTTTTGGGCAAATGATCTTCTCAGTTGTTGCCAACATGAAAATTTATTCTTTTAACTATTAAGTAATTATTTTAATATTGTGATGTATTGTCAAAAATATCAATATTTAACAATATATATCTTGATATTTTACCAATTGAATTAAGTTGTATTATTTTTACATTGGTCAATATTTTTGTTATTCAAATTGAATTTATCAACACTTGCAATAACGATTGTGCTATTAACGGGTTTGATAATTTTAGTTATATATAATGATCATGATTTTATCATGTTTAATATATATTGTTAATGATCATGATATTGTTGATAATAAATCTATGTGTATTTTCAGTATCTGGTGATTTGTGCAAATCAGACTTTGACATTGTTTTTATGTGTTGGCTATTTTTGTTTCATAGTCCTTATAACCAAAAAGTACCCATTCTTGCCTTTTAAAACTTAGGAGAATAGCATTTTTTGTATTCTCATTTTACAATTAAAATGTTGAATTGTTTTCTTAAATATTGGTGTATTTTAGTATGTTCTACTTCTGTTTTTTTCCACTTTCTTCCAGTACCCTGGAAGAATGAAGTTTGTCCTGATGAAATGCTAACCTTGAGTTAATGTACATGTAATGAAAAATAACTGTTGTATGACTAGTGAAATTTTGATGTCGAAAAATAAAGCAAATTAAAAGTTTAGTTATCACTTTCGTTACAGGGTGGCAGCTATGATGATGTTCTTAAGACTAGGAAACATATTTATAGCGATTACATTCCTCTGATGTATAGAAAACCAGTAATGATAACACAGGGGCATATGCAATATGTATGGGACCATACAGGAAAAAGATATCTTGATATGTATGCTGGTATTGTTACGACAAGTGTTGGGCATTGCCATCCGTGAGTTATGTCTTTTCTTGGAGTTTTTTTCATATTTATGAAAGTTTTGTGTCGGCTGTTTCACAGTCTTGAGTATTTGCAATCCTATATATAAAGTTGGTTAACCTTTGGGATGCGGTTACTCAGGTGAAAAAATTCTCCTCTCTGTCCGGCGCTTTCTTGCAGAAATTCAGCCCCTCACTTAGTCAGTGGGAGGTAACTACTTTAACCACTTATGAATGGGTACCGTTTTGTTGTAATTTATATATCACTCTCCAAGAAGGGAGCAGTAGAAGGGTTGCAGCATGCATCGTTATCGGCAAACATTTTGACTTAGTTATGAATATTTTGGCATACTTTATCTGTAACATGTAACAAATTATGAGAAAAAGTAAAAAATAGAACTTTTTTTTTCGATTTTTTTTTTTTTTTTTTTTTTNTTTTTTTTTTTTTTTTTACGAGAAAAACAAACTTTTTCTCTATAATAAATCAAACTCATATTTAAAAAGTTATTTAGAATTTTTACTGATTTTTTTTAAAAGCGTTTTTTACTGTTTTTGAAAGATATAAATAAATTATTGTTGTAAAATTTTAAACAAATTTATTCTGATAGCTAATTTTAAAAAGCATAGTTTTTGGATCACTTAGAAATAAGATGCGCCTGATACTTCAAAAGTTTTTTTTCGAATCTAATAGTTTATTTCATTTATCCGTCAAAATAATTTGGTCGAATGTAGATTTTTTTTTTTTACATAAATTTTTTTTACTGAATGGATTTTTTTTATCTTTCTTTGAGTTTTTTTTTAAAATTTAAAGTCGCATACATTACATTCATACAAAATTGTAATATAAATATTCTTCGAGACAAAAATTTTATTCCGGCAGATAATTTATAATATTATATCATGTGGTTTCTTGAAAGAAATTTATCCAGTTAATAATTTTTGAGTAAGCGAAGTATTTTCTGTAAAAATATATCCTTTTATATATGATATATGTTAAATATACCATACATATATACTTTTTTAACTACATTATTTCTATTTCATTTTCATATTTACCTACCTTTCATACATACATATACCTCTATTTAACGAAGTCGCTAAATCACGANAAATAGTATATATCACGTGACTTATTTTATGCTAAATGTTTCATATCATTCCCTATGCTACATCGCTTAGCTTGGATGAGCTAATATTCAATTTCTATTGTTAAAACTTTAGTCATAGGAAACTGTAGATGCAAAATATGTTTCTAAAGAAAAGAAGTCATATTACATTTACTTAAATGAATATGCTTATTCTTATATAAAAAATGTAAAAAGCTGGAAGAAAAGAAAAACTCTGGAAATTTCTCTGTGGAAACTAGTAGTTAGTAAATAAAAGTTTAAGGGCAAAATATTTGTATTTTTGATACTTAAACTGACCTAACTAACTTTTTATTATAAATGCATCAAGTGTCCTCTGCAAGAAAATTTTTTTTATTATTAAAATTTTTCTCAACCTTTACCTGGAGAAACGTTCACGCTGAATAAAAAGTTATTTAAATTTAACTTAACACTTAATATATAAATAAAATATTTTTTGCTCAACAAAAATGCTTACTTTTTTTCTTTTCATTTAATCAATAGTTGTAACCAGAAAAACAAAATTGAAAATTTTCGAGACCAATTTTTTTTCAATAAATAATATTGTACAAAAAAAAAGCTACCAACTTTTATATACATAAATTGTGCTGACATTGAAAAATACTATTTAGATATATCAAATTACTTAAATTTTTAATATGAAAAATAAATAAAAATTTTCAGAAAGCTTTTTGTTTTTATTTATTTTAGAATTACATCATGCGTGTATTCATAGGAATTCATGAATATTTTACCAGAATATTTCTTTACATAAAATAATAAGTGCAAAGACTCTAAAAATATGTAAGAATATGCTTACAATAAATTTAAAGAAAAGCATCCTTTCCAACAAATATATTAAATAATAAAAATATACTCCACGTTTCTATTAAGTTTATATCTGAAGATCTTATTGTCAGATCTTAAAGTCTAATATATTTTCAAAATAATGTATTATATATTATTAAAAGCAAAATAACACTAATTATCAGAGTTACTTATTTTAAACTGATTCATTTTCTAATGTTTTCCTTAAATTTATTTATTAGGCAGAAAGAAGTATTTTTCCTAATTTGTGTTTTGTTTATAAGAGAATATATATATATATATAGATTAGAATATATATTAGAAAAGTTTAGTACAAAATAAAATATTCCCAGAGCTGAAGTCTTTCACAATTTACACCTGCATGTGAAGATGAAAACTTTAAAGTCATCGATTGTTATAAGACACACCTATACAAGCTTGGTTGACAGTTGGTTCAAGGTAAAACATGCATTTCCGTTGATCATGGTGTGGTCTTTTCCTCAGGTATTGTGAACTAATCATTGTTAAGAATTTTAAAAACGACAGACCTCAATATATATTATCAAGAATATTTATTCTGACAAGATAACCCCATACACCAAGAAATAGCACTTTGCATGTAGAAGTGGCAATACTTAATTGGTTTCGGTATCTTTCTCTTTTAGAGAAGAAATAATAATTTCATTATGTGAAAAGTAAGTTGCATGGCAACAAGCTGTGCTAGCGCCAATAGAAAGTTCATAGGAACTTGAAAGAAATTTATAACATGATATATGAGATTTCTTTTGACGTCGCATACTTGAAAAGAGACCATAACGTGGCATACTTGAAAAGAGACACCCAGAAGTTAAACCTGACAATAGGACGTAGAATTATTGGTTGTTTCCATTAGGAAGAAATTGCTGGAAATGTGTGAAAGTAAAGGAAATGCTTACATTCAAAATGTAATTGTAAAAAGTAGACAGTCTAGCTAATAATTGATGAGGGGTTTGAATTTGCAAATCATACAAGAGTTAAGAAGAATGAATATTATATATCGGAAATATTTCTCTTACATGGCATTAGAATTTTTAAAAAGAAATATAAAAACTTACATTGATTATGTTCTTTGTAAGAGTACAGAATTTATTTTCATAAAAGTTAATAATTTTCTACACAATATAAAAGCCTTGCATAAAGTAGAAAAAATTTTCGGTTTATTTTCTCCAGTTTCTTTAGCTGTATTGAAAGAAGTAAAAAAATAAAAATATTTATATTGCAAGTTGAATGCAGGAACCAATATATTTCGAAGGATTTTTTTTAAGGAAGTTAGATAAAAATGTAACTTTGCTGAAAATATTTTTTTAAAAGAAATAAATATAAAGAAGTACAAAACTTTTTTTATAAACGTAAAAATTATTTTTGCATTTAATATTTAGCTGACTGCTGTTTAGAACTTTATTAATTTACGCTATTATTTCCTATAATATAATGCAACTCTATAAAGCATTTTTTCAAGTTATGTAATATTTAGATATAAAAAAATGCACGATCTTATTTTTTTTGAAATCTTAAAAAAATTTCAGTTTGTTTTTAAAAAGTCTTATGATAAAGTTCAATTCAATTTCAAATTCTGTAATGCTGCTTTTATTTTTATCGATTTTCTATTCACCTTAATTATATTAACTAGGATGTTTTAAGAAACATTGGAATTTCTAAAATATTTCATAACACTCTAGACCTTTTTTTCTTTCCTTTGTACTATGTTTTTTTTATTATCGATTTTATATTAGATAAAAATACAAATCCAATAACTGCGCAAGAAAAGATGTACTTTGATAAAATAAAGTCTTGTAACTATTTATAAATTAGTAACTAATTTCATCTAAATATACTTTATTCCGACTTTTTAGTAATTTACTTTTTTAAATTAAAAACTCATAGTAACGGATATTTAAAAATTTTTTTTTTACAAATCAAAAACCATAAAACAAATTTTTATGTTTAGCGAGAAATAAAAATTCTTTATTTCAAGAATTTGTAGAAAATTAAAATTTTCGTTTGAAAAAAAAAGAAGACTTACATAGTTTAAACAAGGTTTATTATACAATTAAAAAAATTAATAAATTCAAAACATCAAAACTTAATATACAATTATAATTATACGGTAAATTTATAAATCCCCTATTCACTTATTCCAAATTACGTTTTGTTAAACTACTGTTTAACTGCTTGAAGTAAAATTTCATTTTTTTCAAATTTCAATATTATAGTTAACATACTTATGAAAATCCAAATATTATAAAATAGAAAAATATCTAATTATAGACATCCAAGCTAGTCTGCAAGGAAGACTAATACTTTTGATTAAATAATATTATAATAATAGCAAATTTTGTTATAAGCACTTGTATTTTCTTAATTATTTTCATTATGTGTCATAAAGATTATTATATAATAATCATAAGATTATATATACAGTTGACTCGCGTTATAACGACCCCATCGGGACTGCCCCAGTCTGGTCGTCATATCAAATGGTCGCTATATCAAAATGAGCAAATTTCCTCTGAAAATCGGTCACATAATGGTTTTAAACGTCATAATGCATGCATATACTATTTGTGGTATACATGTTATAAACCAAAAAAGGATAAGATACATACATTATTAAAACATAATGACATTTTAACAATTGAATTACAACTGTTAACTATTAAGAATTTTATTTTAAAGTACAGATTGAAAAACATAGTGTGACAAAAAAAATCTAGTTTCTAATGAATTAGTTTTTTGATGTACATAATTTGCGGTATATATAACGAATTTTTTTTTATGTACATAATCTGCAGTATTATAAAGAAGAGTAAACCGAGGAACATAAACGAGGCTTCATTAGACGAAGACATTAATTTTTTGATGTGCATTAATTTGTAGAAGTTACATGTTAACAGGACTTAACGGAGGTGTGCTTGTTCAAGGTCAACCATTCAACCCCAGTTTCCAATAGGAAGTTAGAAAAGAGCTGTGTTCAAATTCAGAGAGGGTCGTTATATTAAGAGTTGACCTTTTTTACGGTCGTTATAGCAAGAGTAAAATAACGTTATCTTTTATGGACGTGAATTGGGACTCCTTCACAGGGTCGTTATAACACGAGTCGACTGTATATATATTCCTGGATTAACAATATATAATAATATTTTTGTTCTTTATTAAATTTTGCAAGTAATAGTTATCGATAGATTTTAATATTGCAATACTTAATATTTTAAATTTAGCACTGCTTATTTTTTTAAATTAATTTCTTCATCTTCTCCAAAAATTGTTTTTACAGTTACGTCATCCTCCTCATCAGAGCAATCAGAATCACTATCTGCATAATTTTCTTTATCTAATTCATCTAAGAGTTTGCAGATCTCTTCATCATTCAAATCTCGCTTACGAGGAGCCATCGGAATTGCTAAAATAACTTACTAACATGGAGGAAAAAACAGAAAAGACAGCTAAGGAATATTTGGCTGTATTATTTTCACACCGATGTTCAATCTATGCCAACCTTCAATGCGAAATTTCACGAAACCCTCCTACAATCCTCCCCTCGAAGCCTTAACAATAGAGAGGGAACTACTTAAACCACTTATCATCAAGAGGTGAAGAGCAAGTTTGACAGTGAAAGGGGAAAGAAATGTGTGGTACAAATGCTGTACCAAAACCGTCTTAAAATAAAATTATTTTTAGGGTACAACTGTCGTCCCCTCCGTCCCCTAAAGGTTAATGATCAGCCTTTCATGATTTAATTACTTGAATCTAAATCAGCAATCTTTCCAGTGTCAACTATCTCAAAACTTTTTTACTGAATTTTTGACTCAAAACACTTCCTTCCCATTGACTAGCGTGGAGAAAAAAACTGCTTGCTATGTAGTAATGATGCCAGATAAAAAAAAATAAGTTATCGTTGTTGCTATTGATTTAGGATAATATAAAATTTACAATTAGCTTGTTTACCACCGAAAAAAGGAAGAAAAATAATGTCTAAATGGTGAAAACTATTTAATTTTTTAAATTTTTTTTAACAAAATAGATCACAATTTCACTGTAGAAATAGCATAATTAAGCTTATAATAGTTGAAGAAATAGCATTGTTAAGTTTAAATTTTAAATATTTTCTAAATTATACTTTAATTTATTAGAAAGTTACTACTTTTGTACCTTGCCTCATCAGACCTTAGTGATGCATTATCAATTGGTTAAACATTATAACTTTAAATTCATCATTTTTTGAAACATAAAAGTGTCTTAGTTCATTTAGAATCTCCTGAACTATTGTTACAAATTTTAAGAAGTTAGTGATAAATAATTTTGATTTCAAATGTTTATATGAAAGCGTGATCCCCGAAATATAAAGAACTCTTAAAAAATAGTTATTGCAATGCACAATACAATCATATGATAAAGAGCTCAGAGTAATATAATCAATCCTTAGTTAAAAGCCATAAAGGAATGCTATTTTTCAATCTCATGTTTCCCACTTCTCATACAAAAGTTTGTCGATACAAATGTAGAATATCTGCTTCAAAGGGATTTAAAAAAAAAAAAAAAATACTTTTGATGCAAATTAGAGCCTGGTTTAGGAGGGGAGCAGAAAATTGCTTATTCCTAAATGATAGCTCGGAATTTCGAATATTATCTAATGTGAGGCGTTCACCCTGGAGAATTGACTAAGTTATTCTTTAAACTTATTTTTGTTTTTGTGTTGTGCATACAGAGGGGACATTTGATATATCGATTGTATTTTTAGTTAGTGTTTCCCTACTTTAAAAATAAATTATTATACATCGTTTTAAAATTCTTAAGTTTTTATGATGTTTAAAATCGTACTTAATATTTGTATGCAATATAAAATATTATATTTGTATTTAATATAAAATGTCTTTCTTTTCTAGAAAAGTACTCAAAGCAACAGTAGATCAGATGAATAAGATATGGCATTTAACAAACATCTACTTGCATCCAAAACTTCATGAGTATGCTACAAAATTAGTAGCTCGTCTTCCAGAGCCTCTAAAGGTATTCATATTGCTTATTTCTCTGTGGTTCATTTATGTATAGTTTTTTTTAAATATCTGATTAATTGCATTAAATTAGTTTTTTTATTATCAATATTGTTATTATTATTTTTGGAAATGTGAATGTAACAGTCAAGAGAAACATTATTATATTTATTTAAAGCATAAAATATGCATTTCTCTTTTCTCCAATTTCAAATGAAGTAAAATAGCAATATATAAAGGCATAAATAGTGTTATTAAAGATAATCATGCTGATTTTGCATGTATGCCAACTTCTTTAATTTTAGAGAGAGTTATTTCTTGAATATTAAACAGTGGGAAATTTTTTTGCTTTACCATTGTATTTTTTATTTAATAAATTTAATTTACAACAATTTTTAATGACAGTTTATAATACATCTATTTTTTGGAAAAAAGTATTAAAAAATTAAGAATAGTGCAACATAAAAATATGGGCCTCTTTTTTAAGTGTTATAAATGTAAGGTATTTTGCTTAAATTATTAAAATTATATTTTACTCTCAATTGGTGTCAATGTTAGTTTTTGTTTATCAATTAAACTCTTATTATAAAGTTTTTTTTTAGGTAGTTTATTTTTGTAATAGTGGATCTGAAGCAAATGATTTAGCTCTTGAGCTTGCCAGACTCAGTACTGGTTCCTTTGATGTTTTATCATTGAGGTAGGATTGTTTAATGCAGCTTGCTTTTTCATTCTTTTTTGCCGTTTTTCAGGTGTATTCTAGTATTGTAAATACAGTTGTTACTTTACATAGTAAAATCTTTTTCTAAGTACTTTCCATTGAAAACTATAAAATTCAGGTATGTATACGTCAAGTTTAATAACCTCATAGAAATTTGACTGCAGTAAAAGTAAAAAAAAGAACAAAAAAAAAGAAGACAATTAAGGATGTAGTAATTAGCAATCAATTTTCCTTCGTTATTTTGGATCATATTTCCATATTCCAAATTTTATACTTCTGATGATCAATAAATATTATACTTATGTTTAATCCTTTGTTTCTATTGTGTCTATAACTTTTTTATATATTGTCTGTTTTAAAATAAAAATACTTTTATTTTATTTATGTGCAAGCATTGTTTATTGGAATATGTTGTTCTTATTTGTTAGAATAATTCACTGTCGCAAATAAGAAATATAAATGCATGTGAAGTTGGCCACTTTAGTGCTAAAGTAAATAAATATTTAAATTTTGTTTAATTTATATATTAATATTTAAACTGTTTTTAATTTCATTTAAAAATACTTTAAAATAAAAACGTAGAATATATTTTATTGTTCATAACAGGATTAAACAATTTATTTAAAATCTTGTTATAACTTTAACTTCAAAATATATTTCATAATAGGTACAGCTTTTTGTTGTAGCAAGAAAAGTAAAACATATTGTTTGCCTCTTCAGCAAATATACAAATATTATTACCTGCTAAGATTTCCTTTTGTTTTTCACATATAGTATTGCTAAAATAAAACAGTTTCTGAACTTTTTGATTTTAGCAATATTTTGGTACTGCAGATGCTAATCCAGGATTTTTAACTTAATACGTACCCATTTCTATGAAAAATTTTAATGATATTATATTTTTGTGAAAATTTTTAGTGCATCATAATTTTCCACGAGAAAATGTCTTCCAAAGTAAAGATAAAAAAAAGAAACATTAACTTTCCTTACAATTTTCCTTAATAATAAAATACTTTAAAGATATTTATTTATAATTCTTTATGACAACTACTTATTTAGCACGACACTTACTAGCTTTAATGCACACATATGTTTACAATTAATTCAAATTTACATTACTTTGTAATACTTATCTTGATTACACTTTTTTACAATTGAAAAATTTAACAATATGCAAATTTTTTCTGAGCATATGATCATAAATTATATAAAATGGCTCATGTAGGTAGAAAATGGCTTAAAAAGTTGTCCTGCAGTTTTCAAAAATTTTAAATATTGGGATAATTAGATCTACTTGATAATCTTACAGTTTTTGGGGGCCAATAAATGAAAATTTAATGATTGAGTAGAAAAACTGCTCCTCAATTTTAAACATACCAAATTCATCCTGGAAAGTAGTCTTTCTACAGATGCTGTAGATGTGAGCAGTATTAGACTTAGGGTTCATAACTTCATCAGTTTTAGAAATTCATCCCAGAGAGTGTTGTTTCTTTCAATGATATGCGATTTTTAAATTGTGTGAATGCAAATTGCAATGTTAACAAATTGCCGTGTGTGTTTCTTGAATTGCGTAATTATGAATCTCGATGCATGAATATGCACAATGCTTGGTTTTTTTCCAGATGTGTGAATACGAATTGCGATAGGTGATTTTTAAATTGTGTGAATACGAAATACAATGTGCGATTTTTAGATTGCATACATACAAATCAAATTATATGTGAAATAGAACATTAAAATTTTATGTGAATTAGAATATTAAAATGCTGAAGGATTTCAAATTTTATCTATATTATTTCTTCGCATGAAATAATCAAAATCACAATTTCTACATATAAAAAGCTACTTTTGTGGAACGGAACATTGCATGGTCTAGCTTTTACAATATTGCTAAGTTAAGACAACTGCTAATAATTAAAATATTGACAATGCTTTTATTTTAAGTATTGCATATACTTTACAATAGTTAATTTTGAGTCATTTTTTATGCTGGTTTATTGCTTGATAACTATTTAATAAAATAAAGCTATAAGGAATCTTCATTTTTGATTTTCTGTTTATGGTAATAAAAATCATTTTTTGCAATGAATACTGGTCAAGTAACACATCTTTTTGCTCTTGCTGGAATGATTTTTTTTTTAATATTTTTGATTCTATGTCTCATTTTTTCTGTTTTTTGGTTACTTTTAATATTTTAAATTGATTTTTTTTGGCATATTTAATTTTTTTTGCACACAAAAATTATTGATATTGTGAATATTTTTTATTCATTCTTGTGACATTAAACTAAATTATGTTCCCAATTAATTTTTTTAATAAATTATTATTTACGTTGTCTTTTATTCAATTATTTTTATGAAAGGAAATTATATGGTAAATCTTTTAAAATGTCATATCTTAAGGCTAATTGCGCCAAGAAAAGTTTTTAGTTCTCTCCAAAATCTGCATTAGGTAATTTATTGTAAAAACTGATGATTCAAGACAAAATTTGAGTGCCTACGCAAGTCTTTGTATATTTGTACCATAATGTTTAGAAAAATAACTCTTAAGTTTACTGCTTTATATGAAGTATGAATGGACTTTTTTTATTCACATAAACATTATACAAAATAAGTTTCATTTTAACCCTCCAAGCATTGAGCCCCTGGTCAAAATTGTACTGAAATTTCTTTTCCATGTGTTAATTTCTCATTAATGAACAAATTTTTTATTTTATTTTAATGTGTGAAAGTTTGCTGCTGTAGGTTCAGAAAAAAAGCTATGACTATTTCTCAGAGGGTCAATATGATTTACATATTTGAAGTTGTCATCAAGTTTGTGTTCTTTTTGCTTGTTTTTCTGTGTTTATTTTAATTTAAGTTTATTATGTTTTGTACTTCTTTAGAATGCTAATTTATCAACATGAGTAGTGCTTGTAATGATTATATTATTTCATCTAAGTTTTTCAACTTTTAGAAACTCATATCATGGTGATACTCCATCTTCAGGTGGATTGTGTGGAATGGGTACTTGGAAACACAGTTGTCCACAAGGATTTGGTGTGCATCATGTAAGTATTCATTCTCCTACTGTGTTCATTTCAGAGATTTCTCTTATTTTATATTGTTGAGTTGTATGATTTTGTTGCCTAAGCTTTTTTTAGTGATATATTTGAACTTTTTTCACAATTTGTATAATTAAAGGCAATATATTTTAAATCTTAATTCAGTGTTCTTATTCATGCTTCTTATCTTATATTAGGTGCCATAATTACTGGGAGTAGAATTCTTTGTGCTCTCCTTTTCAAGAATGTACTGTTTTAATAGAATCTCTTCACTTCATGATTTATTTAAGATTGTTTTGTTAGAGTGGTAATATACCTTGAAATCTTGTAGAAGTAGTTTTACTGATTGAATGATCTTTTTTTTGGCATGAGGTTTACTAGTAAATATATATATATTTAAATATTAAAAGTATTTTTACTTTAAACTTTTTTTAACATTTATTTCTCTAAAGTCAATTTGTTTTTATATTGTGCTTCCATTTTTGCATGTTGCTTTTTTGAAGCTTAAAATTAACAACATTATGAAAAAAAAATGCATATGTAGTTAAGAGAATTTCTTACTGTTGAGTTGAAATTCATTAGTGCATTTTTTAAAGAACTGATTATCTACTGTATTGATCTTTCAAAAGTCATGTACATTTAACCTAAGCATGTCTAGGGACTTTTGATAATTTTAACATTTTAAAGTTCTTTCTTTCTTCACTGTTCTTTGTTGATTCACTGAACTAGTTATATATTTCTTATCATATGTACTGTTATTCAGATTAGTAGTAATATGATGCAATAAAAACCTGTTAAATATTGTTGCATAGAGGTGACGAATACCTTCATTCAAAATTTTTAATTGAAAAACATGTTTATGCTCCACATGATTTATAAATGCATATTCCTGTTATGTTTTACATTGGAAAATATTTTAAGCTTATGTATCATTTTATTAATACAGTTCTGAATTGAAATAATTTTGTTCTATAGAAACAAGCTAATCTCTCATGAAATTGTTGTTTTAATTGTTTAAGTTACTTCATTTCTTATCAAGATTGTTTTTCATTTTTTTTAAAATTTGCTTAAACTAGGAAAGTTTTTTTAGTTCACAATTCAGGAATTAAACTTTAGGCTAAAAATACAAATTTATGTACTTATTTCTCATTTATAAAATTGAAACAAAGTGCGTAAGAAATATGCGAAGTTAAAATCAGTGCATATGACAACTTAATAGCTGCGCTTCCAGTTAAGCCTATTGGTTTCGTAAGTGAATTATTTATTTAGAAATGATTCATTTTTGATCTATGTTATTTGGTTTTACATGATAATATCAAATACATTAAGACAAAATATAAAAAATCTTTGTCATTATCTTTAGATGCACCTCCACTTTGTAGCTCCATTAAACGTGAAGTGGGAGTCCCCAACCTTATTTCTTTCGTTTTGTTTACTTAAATGTTTCATTCTTGGATTGGTGTTCTTTTAGTTAATTTTTGAAAAGATTTTCTTATAAATATGTAAGCATTAAAACTGTAAAAGCAAATGATTTTATAAAAATGTATTAACTTGAATAATTGGCATGCTTTGCTTTGTGTGTGCAAATCACCAGCAATTTTTTTCTATAAAATATTAGTAAGCACTAATTATCACCTTAACTGTTTTCTTTTTTAACTGCTGAGTTTTTTCCAACTCTGAGACATTTCTTATTTTCAGTTGTTACCTCTATTTTTTCATTTCATGTGGTCATATTATTTCCATATCCATTGACATACAAAAAGCATGCACTTTTTATTGTAAAGCAATGGGTTCTTTCAATGCTACTATATCTATACTTGTAAAGTAAATATATAGTTACTTATGATGCAAATAGGTTAACTTCAACCGCACTTTTTTAATCTGTTGCATTTCCGTCCCATTCCCGTGGGAATGCGTTAAGTGAATATTTACTAGATTTAACTACTACTTTTCCCATGAAGGAACTTTTCGAATCAATGCAAAAATATACATTCGACCTTCTCTGCAGAAAATGGATTTACTCATTGTTTTTAAAACTGAAATTTATACATTAAACTATAATTGTTATTAATACAGTAAAACAGTTTCTTCAACGCCCGTATATAAGTTTTATTTTATTTTACCCAACCCAACTTCGCCTACCCAACTTTGAGTTTATGACTACTAATGGTCCTGCAGTGGAGTGATCGTTAAGACACGGCTCCCAGCTGGCTACGGTCAGTGTGCGGGTGGGTGACCACTTGGATCAGCCTGCGCAGGGACCGAGGGTGAGCGGCATTGGTCCACGTTAAACTGTTCTACTGTAAAGTACTCGACTTCTCGTGCAGGTCGTCGGGCTACCGAAGCGGGTGTGCCATCCCCTCTGCAGAGGATCAAAATTGTGATGGCATGTCTTCGGATCATCCTCAGGGATGTTTCCCAGACCGTCGCCAATAGCCTATTGTGCAGCTCTAGTGCGACATAAATGAGCAACAACAACCACATGGACAAATAATTTCAAGGAGCTTATAGTTTCATTTTATTTTTTAGTATAATAAATTTAAAATATTTTTCAATTATTTATTACACTGTTAAAATAGTGTGTGTTATAGTCATTTTTTCTTCTCCTTGCTCATTTCTTCTGTTTAATTAGTAAACTTGTCAAAAACAATGCAGCTTTATTGTATTCTTTATTTTTAAAATTTTGCTTTTCAAAATTGATCAAAAGCTTTGATAACTAAGTGAATATTAGTTTCTTTGCTCCAAGGTATTTTGAATTAACTTTTAAAAAATTGATAAGTTTATTAAATAATATTTTCTTTCAAAATTTGGAATTGCATTATTAACTTTATTTCACCATTCTGTTGCCAAGTGGGCCAGGAGATTATGATCGTTGGCCTAAAGTAAAAAATTAATTTTTCAACTAAAATATGTGTAGGCAGTTTTAATATATCCTAAATTAAGTATTCATAATCATTCCAAACATTATAATTTACTTTTTTAACTGATGAGTGTTTAATGAGAAATATGTTAAAAATTTTTTTTTAAATGTAGCTTTAAAATTTTTATTTCCGAAATGTATTTAGGAATTTCACCCTAGTGTTACATTTTTATCAGAATAATTAGGGTTAAATTATAGTAAAATTTTTTAATTTGTTGGATTAGTTAATACTCTTGACAAACTTATAGTTTATATATTATCATTTGAGATTTTACAATGTTTGAAAATTAGTTCCAAAAAGTTCTACGAGGTAATTAGCTAAACTTTCTTTTATTGTTTTCTTTGATATTTCTTCTTTTGAAAAAACCTGCCCATTTAGCCCGTATTGCAAAGGTGGACTAAATATACTGGAAAACATTTATTTTTGCTTGCCATATTTCAGCCGCCATTTTGTTTTTTGGGGTATTTTTAGTGTATTTCAAAATTTCAACTATGAATTCAATTTACCTGCACATAAAAACTCCTAAATACAAATTTTGAAACAAATTTTATTGAAATACTAATTTTGGCCACAAAACCTTGGATGCTGGCCCACTGTGTGCTGGAGACAGGTTATTTTTAATTAAATTATAATCATTTTATTTTGATTAACTCACATCAGTTGATATATTGAAAAAAATTTTAATATTTATAAACTAACTAAAATATTAAAATTTAATTATGATTTTCACTTACATTTAAAAAGTTTTTTTATTGAATATTTTTAAAACAAGAATAGTAAAGTGCATTTTTGCCTCTGTGCTTATGACTTTTTTCCTCTCAATCATATACAGATTTATTAAAACAGTTCATAATAGATATTTTTTAAAAATTTTTTTCATTACAGACATGAAAATAATAATAATGATAATAATTTTGAAACCTCAATGAAGAAGGGAATTTTTTTTACTCCTTCGTCTCTAGGAAGACAGTTCCTTATAAAATGTCTTTCAAATTTATAAATCTTGATCTTAAAAGTGTATGTATGTTCATCTAATAATAAATACTGAAAAGTCCTAGAATATTCCAAGATTTGAACATTTGCCAAAACTATTTTATGCTATACCATGAAGATACACATAACTCTTTAATCCTTCAATTTAAACTAGTATTTTTTATCTCCCACTCATATCTATAAAATAATTCTTTAATTTTTTAAAAATGAGATACTGTAGAGCATTTTTGACTTTTTCTTAATAGGTAATGAATCCTAATCCATACAGAGGACTATGGGGAGGTTCAAACTGCCGAGACTCTCCTGTTCAGGTCGATAGAAAATGTTCTTGTGGAGAAGGTCAGTGCTTTGCAAATGATATGTATATTGAACAACTTAAGGAAACTATAGCATCATCAACACCAAATAGAGTTGCTGCCTTATTTCTTGAGTGTATACAGGTAAATCAATCTTCCTAAATGACAAAATTATCCATAACATTTTCCTTTCATACTGATTAGTAGTGTTATATGTGAGAAATGAGCAAATACTTCTACATACTATCACTAAAAAGTTTCAGTTGAAAAAAAAATTATTTTTAAAACAAAGAATGTCATAATTTTTCTTGAAAAAATAGGAATTAATGCTATATTTTAAACATTCTAAATTAGTTTATGAATGTTTTTATTAAAACTTAACAGATCTCTATTGCTATTTCACACCATATGTGATTTAACAAGCTAATTTAGTTAAAAAAAAAAACATTAATAAACTATTTGGGAAAAATGCCCACAGTTGACCCATTAATAAGATCCTTTTACACAAGATTTGTTTTTATATTTCAATAGGGTGGTGGTGGCACTGTGCAGTTTCCCAGAGATTATGTTAAAAAGGCACAAAAAATAGTTCATGAACATGGTGGTCTCCTTATTCTTGATGAGGTAACTATTGTTTTATAAATTATTAGACTATATTTGTTTTTATTTTTAAGACATGTTGTGTGTTATTTAACTTTTTCTCTATATTTATAGTCCACAAAATTCAAAAAATACTTTGTTAGCAACACATTTTGCTTAATAAATTTTAATCCCAACTGTCATAAGGTAATAACATCCTATCTGTGCTATTATCATTAAATTTTTACTATTATGTTCACTTTTATTCCATAAAAACTAATTAGCTGCTGATACTGAAATTAAGCTTTCTAATTTGAGGAACATATTGAAAAGAGATGCTTTCCCTCTTTATTTATACCAAACATTTTGGCACAGTTGTATGTTACTTTAAAATATTGTATTGAATTGTTGTATTTCATCTTTTACTTATACAGTACAGAACCCGTTATAAGGAAATCAGAAAACCGGAAAACCAAAACACCGGAACGAAATTTGATAAATTTTCTCGCTATTTTTTAAAAAAAATTTTTTTTCCTCATAAGATTTTAGGATTTTTCTTTCTTTTTTGAAAGATGTGTACCTTACCATCATTTTGGAAATAATCATTAGTGTATTACTTCATCGTTTCTTCTTCTTTTTAAGATTATTTCCAAAATTTTTTTTTTTAGTTGGGTTTAACAATAAAAAAAACGGCTTTTTGTAGCGATTCAGAAAACCGGAAGAATCAGTTGTCCGGAATAGCGATGGTCCCGATCGTTCCGGATAATCGGTTCCCTACTGTATTTATATTCCGTCCTAATTAATGTACTGTCCCCTTGTGCTCTTAGTCATCAAATTTTTATTCATGACTCAAATTTTTATTGATAACATTCAAATTCATCTTTGTAGTTTTTTAATACTTGAAACAAAAATTTCTTGTTAAAAGATGGTTTAGGATCTTATAAACATACATGCAATCAGTTATAAAAATAATATTAATTAAAAACTACTGTATTGTGAGTCTATCAAATTGTAGATATTTTCCTGGCAATTTACTTTTATTTGAAAATTTTATCATTAAATTCTTTGATTAAAAATGTTATTTTACTTGTGTTTATATTAATTTTTGTACTTATTCTTTTTTTAAAAAATCTTTTATAATACTGGCTATCAATTTTAAAATTTTTTTACGCTCTTGGTAAACCATTTTGCCACTTTTAGTTTGTTCTGTTAACTGTTAGTCGCTTCAATTCTGAGGAAGTATGTTTGAGTTAAATTAGTAAACATTTGACACTTTTACGTAGACACGCAGGCTCTGTCATTTACATTCTATTAAGGCATTTTAGTGCACACTACTTGTGATGCCTTTTTGTCTGTGTCTTTACCTTTAGTAACAATTCCATGCAAAATAAATTTTTTAATCATGGTTACAAATAGTCTGTTTAAGGGCCAAATATATTTCTGAGCTTTCCTTTATTAACTTCATATGAACTTCAAGTTAATAATTTCTTAACACGTATTACTATTTTAGCTGATTTTTTTGCTTGGTTTTAAATAAATGGTAAATGCTGTTTTTAAATGTTTTTTTGCTTATTACTGGGATTTTATGTAGGTATTATATATTGAATTTGGAAAGAATTGTCAAAAATTGTCTCTTTACTATGCTGTTTATCGATTATTGATTTGTTTATCATTATTTCATCTGTTATGTTTATCAATTTTTCATCTGTTATGTTTATCATTATTTCATCTGTTATATTTTAGGTTCAAACTGGTTTTGGAAGAACAGGAAAGTATTGGGGCTTCGAGAATCATGGTGTTATTCCAGACATAAGTAATTCTTAAGAATTATAAATTTATTTTGAGTACTTTTCCTTTCTTGAAAGTAGTTCTTATAATGCTAATTTATTTTACTTAAGTCCTCTAAATATTAATTCAAATTTTAAGTTGAATGCGTTCTTGTAACCAGCTTGCCCAAGATAAAGTAGTGCTTACCAAATAAAATTCTGTGCTACTATGCCCAGAGAAATAATGCTTAGAAAGCTTAAGTATTTTTTTATTATAATTTTTATTGTATTTAAATTTTGAAATAATTTTTAAAGTATTTAAATTTTGAAATAATTTTTAAAGTATTTTTTATTTGTTTGCAGAATTTATAGAGATATTTGTCTTCGTTTCTTCAACTTCATCATTCTCTAATACAGTGGAATCCCATTTTTACATTGTCTTTTTTTGTACATCTTCCTACATCATTTTTTAAATTTTTTTTAAAGCACGATTTGTTTATTAATTTCCTCCTTGAGACACAACCAGAAGGATGGATAAAGAAAGTATGTGAGCTTAATTAGCAAAGTTTGTGACTGAAATTTTTTCCAGAAAACTTAAACCTTTAAATATTGAAATTATCCAATCATTTAAATATTACACTAAACAAATGGTTCTTTATTTCGGTGAGCAGCAAGGTGTTTCTGAAGCAAAAACAAATCTTCTGGAATCTCTGACTTTAAATGCTTCAGTGCTTGACAATTTGATTAAAATGCATTACAAATGGATTAAAATACAAAGGCTTGGTACCCAATGGGAACATTGGTCTAGTTGAAATAAAATTTCTGAAGATCTTTCAAAGTGAATGACATGTATGTTGATTGCAACGAACATCCTACTACTTTTTAATTTCTTTCATATCTGATTGAATGCCTGCTCCCAATGATAGTGAAAAAAATTATTAAAATGAGTTACAAGTATTGGATCATGTACAAACAAGAGTTTCAAACCAAAAATCTCTGAAGTAATGTAAATCAAAATGCAAATTTTCTAACAATAGTTACTATTTAAAAAATTTTATCTAAAAACAAAATATAAGGTTACTCCTTTTTTCTAATAGTTCTTCTTGTAAGTACCAATTTTTGAAAATATGCTTACATTTTTTCTTACATATTACATTTTCCAATGGAAAACATAAAATCAGGCATCTAATGTAGTTTGATTATAATTTATCGTTTAAGAAATACACTATCTGACCGTTCTAAAATAAAAGTTATCCAATTGGGAGACACTTAGTATGTGATCCTCCCTCCAAAAAAAGCTAAAGCAACAATTTGAAGATAGATATTTGCATATTAAATAATGTTCCAAAAAGTTTATCATTGTGCAAAACAATGCCATTTACTATATAATGTGTAGTCCTATTTTTTGGTTTAGAATGGATCTATATATATTACTAAGTTTGTGGTCCTCAATTGTGTACTACTACATAGTACATTTTTCTGCAAATCACATACGTATGGTATTAAATTTGGCACTTTGATGTTCTTAAACAGTAACCTATATTATTATCTATGTAGTACTTCTTCCTGGCTATTGTTCCAATAATGAATCACAAGATGTAAACCTATTACGACATTGATGATTATTATAATAATTATTTTTTGATTAATTAACTAATCATCGAATTAAACTCATTCAATTAATTACAACTAATTATAATTATTTTTCTACTTTTAATATCAATGTTTAAATATTTGGTTTCTTTTGGCATCATATACTGAAAGTTTGAAAACTTATTCTATTTATTGAAGCAAATGATTTATTCATAAAGATTTCGCAGCATTTCTTAAACTAATCGTTAGAATGCTGTTTCATAAAATTTCTATTTCTTCTGTCACAAAAACAAATATAAATTATTAGATTTTAAGCCAGTATTTATTTGAGTACAAAGTCTTGAATATGGTTAATTTTATCATTAGCTAACAGTAGTTTTTAAGTGTTTTAAATAAAACTGTACAAGTCTTAAAATTTATCTAGTATATATTTTAATATCAAAATCTTCAAATTAAGAATGATGCTGATTTGGGCATTTGCATAGGCTTTTTATTTTCCCAAATTTTTCTTGCATATGTATTTATATTTGAAAAAAAAATTATTTTTTACTTACAGTTAAGTTTCAATTTACTTATAGTTAATTTTTAGCTATTATGTAAGGAGTATGTTGCATTAAAGTTTTAAAAGGAATTATAAAGGAGTAACTGTTTTTTCTTCACTCTTTTTAGTTTCTGTTGCAAAAGGAATAGGAAATGGATTTCCTCTTGCTGCTGTTATTACTAGCAGAGAAATATCTGATCACATGAAAAAAGCTAATAATTTTAATACATTTGGGGGCAATCCTCTTGCATGTGCAGTTGGATCAGCTGTTCTGGATGTAATGTGTTTTTCAATTTTTGTTTAATTAAAATAATTCTATGATTTCTTTATTGCTTTTGAAACAGGTTACAAGCAAATACTTTTATCAATTTTTATGTAGAAGAAACATTGATTTAGTACATAAAATCAACATTGAATTTTGAGCTGAGTCAGTAACTTAGCACAAAATATAATTTAACTTATTAACTTACCTCATTACATATTTCCTAACTTTTCTTGATTTCATAAATTTATGATCCTTTTTTTAATTATTTCTAATCCTATTCTAATTTAATAAATCAACTAATTTTTATCCTATTGCATAAAAGTAAATATTTCAATTCTTTTCATTTTTAATAAATGTAGCAACTAGTTTTTTATTTAATACATGTGTATAATATTTTAATTCAATGCCGTGATAATACGAATATTACTCTTTTTAAGTGTCTTTATTTTTTTAGCACAGAAAATTTTTTGGTTGCAGGATTATATTAAATTCAAACAGTCTTTATGGTGATTAATTTGTAACCAAGTTTATTTAAATTTAAAGCTAATCACACAAGATTGGCTTTATTTTTGTATCTATTATTTCTGCATAACTCACCAATACTGGATCTCTTTCCATGTTCCTAAGTGTCAATATACACGTGCACCTCAGATTTAAAATTGGTGGGGTTAGGATTGGGTGGTTTTTTTATCTGTCCATGGCCTCTCAGTTTGACCTCAGGAAATGTTTAAAAGTTTAAGAAGATAAATTGTATAAAGCAGTTTTTTTTAAAAAGGTACTGCTGTTTAAAATAAATGTGGATATGCATGCACTGGCTGAAGTTGTAAAAATTGAGCTCATGAATTGGTATTACTATATATTTAGAAAGTGTTTTCTTCAGGATTGTGAACATTATGGAATGATTTTAATAAATAAAAGATGTTAGTAACTTTACCGCTCATTTTTCTTTACCAGTAAACAAGACTATGTTGATTCCACTATCAATGTGCCTCATCATTGGTAGATTATGCATATCACTTTGAACTGTCCCTGACTGCACTTTAATTCATCACAAACACTACTCTAGATCGTTAAATTAAAAATCTCTAGTTTTTAAATATTTTTTTAAAATTTTTTAACTGTCTGGATTTACACCAGAAAAAATATACATTTGGTTCCAATCTCTTATTTTAAGATTTTTATAAAAGGTACATTTCAGAAAGTTAAACTGAATGAATTTTTTTTTATCACATTTAGGAAATGGACAATTTTTTGTTGAATTTTATAAATATGTGCCCATTAAAAATCAGTTCTATAATAATGTGTGAAATGGGAAATTAATACTGATGAATTTCCATAAACAGAAAAGGAAATTCTCTAAACTAAATTCACTTTTTGTACAATCTTATAATTGACTTGCACAATTATTATGCTTAATTTTTTCATATAACTTTAAATAACACATTAAAATTTTAGAGAATTGCAAGACTTTCTATTTGTATTCTGAAAACAAATTTATCTGGTTTCTGTTTTAAGTAAACATTGCATACATGAGGTAGTTTTTTTGAAACACAGATCTCTATGAAATAAAGTTGGTTGAGCTAAATGCTGCGTTTGTTTTAATGAAGAAGTTCACCGAAATTTATATCCAAGTTTGAGCACTGTGAAAAAGCCATTCTATGTTTAAATGCCTATCTGGAAGCCATTATATTCTAGCACTTTATTGGGTTCTTTCTGTTGAGAAATGTATATGAAATTTTATTTTACATAATATCTTCTAAGCAAAGTAATTTAATGATGAAGATATCCTAATTATTTTGAATAACATTTTTAGAACTAATTTGCATTTATAAATGTCATTCTGTTAATATCTATGTTTCATTCCTTTAAAATTAGGCCATTGATGAAGACAAATTAATGGAAAATAGCCATCATGTTGGTACAGAACTTCTTCTTTCATTAGCCAAACTGAGGGAAAAGTATGAAATAGTGGGTGATGTTCGTGGTAAAGGCCTCATGATTGGTATTGAAATGGTGAAAGATAAAGTATGAATTTAATTTTTGAAATTTTAATAGTTTTTTTTAATTTTTTTTATTGTCATATAATGTTTAGGTGAAGTGAGAAAAATTCAGTGTCAGTGTACTGAGCACATTATATAATACTTAATTCAAATATCACTGACATGAAATATTTGTAATATAATTTGTGTTATTTAAATACATTTTTTGTATGCAATTCATTACTAGAGTAAAAAGAAAAATGTCATAAAATTACTAGATTTTTTTCAGGGCACATAAACATGGATTATGAGGACGAATTTGAACATATTTTTTGTGTTAAATCTGTTTCCATTGTAAGAGATCACAAGATCTTCATTATTTCACAGAAAACATACACGCAACTTCATCAAATCAAAAGGTAGCAGACTTTTGCAAAACAGCATTATACTCTTTATTATTTTCGCACTAACAGTATCAATTAAAGACATTTTGTGCCCAAATTTAAACTTTTATTCCTATCCCCTTTTAAGTGAAAGGATTAGCAAGTTTGCTTTATAATTATACTAGGAATTGACTCCATCCCTAACCAACCCATTATTTTTGTTCCTCTCAAAAGTCATAAAAATTATGAATGCAATTCAACTGCTATACCTCACATTTTTGCAAGCATACATGTTTAACTTTGTATAAAATGCACTTTTAAATGTAGATTTTTTTTATTATCATATTAGCATAATTCATTTTCAAACCTTTGAAGAGTGATTTTTAAACCTGCTTGAACTTAGTTTTATTTTGAAATATTCTCTCTTGATAATAAATAAAGCAAAAATGTGGTTTTGGAAATAAGGGCTTTTAATAGGAATTTTTGGAACAAATGAGGTGCTTAAGACGATGTAATGGTAAGCCTGGAAAGTGTTTTTTACGCTTTAAAAAATTCTATAATATTATAATAATATTTTGGAATTTGAGATCATATTATATTATAGAATTGAGAATAAGAGATCATGTTACCATGGATTTGTAAATAATATATACTATACTTTCTGAACGCAATTTCTTATGGCTGATTTTATTGTCCGTTGTGAATTATAAAAAAGTTTTTATATAATTTTTCATATTATGCATGCAAATTGAAAACACAAAATATGTCTTATGCCATCATCAGCTGTATCACTGATTTAATTTCAAATCAATCCATTAAAAAAACCATACTAGATTGCACATGTGTTGGAAGACCTTTCACATCAAAAAATTTCTTTAGCTTAATATTGGTATGCTTTCCAAATTTTGGGTTTAGATTTTTCAGTGTAATATTTTTAATATTATACGCATATTAAGAATATCTTTTTAACATTTCTGTGCTTAAACACCATAAAAATATTTTCAACAAGTTTGTTTTAAGCAGACAAAAACTGTTGTGGCAGAAAATGACAAACCACAATTAACTTTTAATTTTGTTAATTTATAATCTGTCCATAAAAAAATCATAGTTGATTGGGCACACCTATGGTAGACTTTTCACATGAAAAAATGTTTTTTGCTTAATGCTTTCCAAATTTTGAGTTTAGAGTTTTCTGTTTAATATTATTAAGCATTTATTAAGAATTTTTTTTAGCATTTTTGTGACTTTAACATTATGAAACTATTGATGACAAGTTAACTTAAGCAGAGAAAATTTGCTTGGGCAAAAATATAGGCCGCAATTAATATATATTTAATTTTATTTATAAAAGGAGGATTCACCATGTTGTGGGTGGTAATCCTTACTTTTATTTGAATCATCTTCAAAATTATCTAAACTGTCATCACAGTTATAAAGTAATTCTATTCCCCATAGTATAAAAAGTTTTACTTGTGATACATCTCATTGCATCTACTTTCAGCCATCTTTGTGAGTGGTTAATGTTCTTGGTGATTTCCATGCAGAATTTTTATTTATCACCATATTATTTCCTAAGTTAAAGCTTTATAAGACACTGATACTTCCTGTGCTACTTTATGGAAGCAAAACTTGGACCCTAAGTTCAGATATACAGCTGACACTGGACACCTTTGAAAGAATGATCCTCAGAGCCATCTTTGGCACACTTCAAGAAAGGGGATGCTGGCGAACCAAGTATAACTTCGAGCTCTACTGACTCTATGAACAGCCCTAAATTACACAAATAATCCTCAGTAATTGGCTGAGATGGCTGGGCCATATATGGAGAAGCCCTGAAAATAGCGCTATGAGAATCGTCACCTTTAAGAGCCCTGAGTGGTTACATCCCAGAGGCAGACCCCTTACTATATGACCCAAAGCCATCGGAAATGATCTGAAAACGGAAATGATTAAAAGGGATTTGCTATGGATAGGAGGTGCTGGCGTTTGTCAGCTGTTGAGGCAGCCAAGGCCTGCAAGGGGCTGTTGTGCTGACAAGGAGAGGATATTGTTTCAAGTCTTAAATATCTATTTTTCAGTTTTGCTATGTATGCTTTCAATGACATTATTCATGATATTATGACGTGTATCACAATTATTGAATATAAAAATCAGAATAGAAATAGAAATCAGAACATTAAACTTATTCTTATTATTTAGTTTTTCAAGAAATTTATTTTTATTAGTTTTTTTTAGTTTGCTGCGTTTTCACAAACTTTATCTGAGTCTATCAGAACAGTATTTTATTTTGATATGAATGAGGGGGAGGAACCCTCTCACATTAAGTTGAAGAAAACTATGACAAAAATTAACTAAACATTTATTAGCAACTGAAAAATAACAAGATAAAAAACAGAAAAGTAAAATTAAGTATGAGTGTGCACAGAGCAAAGTTCAAAGCTTCCTAAATACTGGGGAACGATACAAGGTTGCCGATTCTGTGTACATCATCCAGCTGATTCCTTTGGCAACTACGCACCATGCCTGGCACCACGTGAACATTATTTAAAGATGAAGATGTGCAGTGTCATTTTTTCCCAATCAAACTAAACATTTGTAAGATTTCAAATGAAAAATTCTTGAGCATGATCAGCCACCAATCAGCCCATTATTTTCCCTTTGAAAAAACACTTCTGTGGGTTATACTTCCGTAAACTCACAACAGGTTACAGGATTTGGGAATGGGGGACAAGATTTCCCTAAAATTTTATGTACATATGCTTTAGAATAAGTGTTTAAACCTACATGTTCTCTTTTTTGATTGAAACTGCTAAGATTTGTTAAATATATTGAGTTTTAATACCTTTATCTCTGCAATTTTTTTGTTTGCGAGCCACCCATTAATATTCCTTTTTGATGCACTTTTGTCATTAACAGTAATGATGTGTTTATTAAGATATTCTTAAAATTACCTAAGAATCAATTATTTTTTTATGCAAAAAGTAACAAACATAAAACGGATGAGACCTTATTTATTTAAACTTCTCCTTTTTACACTTTTTCTTTATAATGTTTGTAAAATTTCCGATTTGTTTTCGCAATTTGAAATTTTAAAATTTAAATATCTCTTTGTGATTTAAGTGATAAGATTAAAATAGCTTTTTGTAATTTAAATAATAAGATTGAAATCTGTTATTTTTTGTGGAAAAAAAGAATAGATTAGAACTTTAATATGACATTTTTAGGAAAGTCGTCAACCTTTATCCTCCGATATAATGGAATCAATATTAGAAGAAACCAAAGACATGGGTCTGCTTATAGGACGCGGTGGTCACTATAAAAATGTAAGTGCCAGAGTTTAAATATATATTTTATATTCTGAAATTACTGCAATTTTTTTTAACTTTTTTAGAGAAATTGTTTTCCTTATTAAGCCTGTGATAAAACAAGAGAAATATAATATTGGCTCTCAGAGACAATACATTTCTGTAACAAGTACACATAATTAGTATATTGTTAATTGATATTTTTGAGTTGAGATGGTATAGTCGCTAAGCCATTTAACTGCCATTCTGAAATGTCCTAACTTAAGTGGCAGCTTTAAGCTCACCCAGCTTCAGATCAATTAATACTAGCTTTTTTGAAAGTAAAAGTGGTGGCAGTGTGCTAAAGTTAATTTCAATGAAGTTTACCCAGACATTGTCAAGCTTGAACTCTTTGACAATAATCCCTTTTTTAAGTGCTTTACGATTAATATTTTTAATGCCTTTATTTTACTTTTTAAATGTATGCAAAATATAAATTCTGTTCTGGAATGATACTTAAAATTTTGTGAATCCTCTAATTGCATCAGTGTCAAAAATTGTAAAGTGACTCTCAAAATTATCAAGTATGATAAATACCTACACTGTTTGCTTAATTTTGTCATATGCTATTATAATCTAATAATACAGTACTGAAATTTTTTTTCAAACTTGCAAAGTAATAAAATTTTTTATTAATTCCACATTTACTGAATTATCAGGTTTACTATTAAAAGAAATTAACTGAGATTTTAACAGATCATTGTTGAATTTATTAATGATTTTTTTTTATAAAGCCTTTTATGTGAAGCCATTAGTTTTTAATAAACAAAATATATTACTCTTATTTTCCAGCTATTTATTTTCTATTTTTACGGGACTGCTAATGTTCTATGCTTTTTACAAAAATTTCTGCTAGTGATTACTAAGTTTGTTTTAATGTAAAATTCTTTGTTTTGTAAATTTGATTTAAAGTTATTTTTCCCAAAACTACATGTAAATGATTTAAGAGTTCATATGAAAGGTCACTTTGTTCCATCTCTCTTGTAATGCGGCTTTTAAAATGTTGAGAAAATTACCAAATTTTCCAAAAACTTTGGTTTTTTAACTATCTACCACTCATAAAAATATTTTGCAAAAGGCATAGTAGTCATTCATCTTCATAAAAAACATCTAAATACATTTGTTCTGGTTATGCATATGAAATAAAAGTTTGATAATCTTTATATTTTTGGCCATGGTTTCTTGTCTGCAAAGCAAGTTTAGCCATCTTTTTAAAACATCCTCTTCTCTCTAGATTTGAACCACTGAACTATTGAAAATTTCATAATTTACATGAAATATTTTCATTGTAATTGTAGTTCTCGTGTAGCAATGCTATAAAGAATAAAAAATATGTAATTTTTCTAAAATTTTTTAATGAAAGTATTGAAAGATAATAAGCAATTTTGTTGATCCTCAAACTTACTTCTTGTACTGAACATACTTCTTGTTCTTACTTGTACTGAAACTATTATATTTTGTAAAGAAATTAATTATAAGGTTGTGTGCTAATGTGGTGATATTAGAATGTTTTATTTATCTGTAATGTGACCCTTATTTTATTGAAACAAATTTTCCATTATATTTTTTTGATTAAATGAGCTTTTACTGTATTTCTCTAAAACTATTTTTAAATTTCTGTTTCGTATAATTATTCCATTGATTTCTTTATAACTGTTGAAATTTTAACATTAGGCAAAAAGTTTCCTACTATATCAAAATATTTTCAATTCTTAGTTTTGATTATTTTTTTCTATTACCCACTCATATATTGGGATTCATCATTCGGTTATTAAAAAGGAAATTTTGAATACCCTATCAAGATTTACCATACTAGTTGTGCCAATATTATCCCCACAGTTAGAAGGACAGATAGTACAGAAAAGAGGGAAAGGACATTCATGCTTTTGATAGGGATTCCAACACAGGATCTGTCTGACATGAGGTCCATCCCCTGACCACCATACAGCGGGTCCATTTATATATTTAAATTATATATTTTATAGAATATGTTTAAGTCATAGATATTTATATATTATAAAATGCATATCCAATTTAGCATTGTAATCAGTGTTAACTAAGAACATCTAATGTACACGAGGCTGTGTTAACTCATTCTCTGACATAGCAACTTTTTGCACTGATGTGAAATGTGTATTTATGAAAAAAAGGTAAAATATTTATGATCAGTCTTATTGGATATTTTAGTGTTAGCTACCAAGTTTTAAAAATCAGAACACTCACATGATTTCATTTTGAAATAAAGACAGTAATATTAATAATGTCTTGTGGTTGACACTAATATTTTGCTTCTGTAAAATAAAAACATTAATATTTACAATGTCTTGTGGTTGACACTAATATTTTGTTTCTGTAAAATAAATTGTAATATTTTTAAGAACATGTCCTTTTTTCAAAAATGCAAAGAATTTTAAAAAATTTGAAAAATTATATTTTAGTGGGAAAAAAAAGACCCAGGAAAAAAAGTTTCATGCTCAAAAGAGCTTATATACTTATATCATGTTCACATGATTTAATGCTTTATAATTATTGTGTGCTAATTATGGAAAAATCAGCTAAATTTTGACAAAAGGAAGAAATAAGAATGTTATAAACCATGATACTAAGTGCATTAGCTAATATTTTTCTCTAAAATATTGAAATTTTTAGGTAATTTGAATTGAAAGTAAAGTAATTTCATAAAAGCAGTGTTTATTTAAACACTGCTTATATGAAATTAGTGCAGTGTACTTGTCTTAGAACTGGACTCCTCAAATATTGCATTTTCATTTAAAACATCAATTTTTCAACAGTCTTTAATTTTCTTAGAAAATTGAAATAATTATTTAATATTTTGTTTCAGGTATTTAGAATCAAGCCTCCTATGTGCATTACAAGTACTGATGCGAAATTTTGCGTTGAAGTTCTTGATATTGCTATCTCAAAAGTTGTTAATAATATGTAATTAATTCTGATAAATATATATATGGTACAAACAAAATACATTATGGTACGAACAAAGTACATTATGGTGCAAGCAAAATACATTATGGTACAAACTAGATTTATTTATTGTAAGTTCTGCTCAGTTTTTGACAATTTTGTTGCAAATTTTATAAATCTTGTATATTTTTATAATTTTAATAAATCTATATTTCTATGTTCAACTTAAAAGTTTTTGTTTGTTATATTTTATATTGAAAAATACAATCCACATATTTTAAATTTTATTTTTACTTAATTAAAATTAAGTTACACATATTTAATAAGATAATTTAGTTTACTTGGGAACTAAAATAGGCTTTAAAACGCTGTATTTTCTAAGCTGATATTTCAAGTGCTTTTGTATATTGGGATATTGCATGAATTAATTCTTTCTTACAATTAAATACTAACTACATATGGTTTTTAGCTTATTTGTTTTTGTGCAAACTGTTTGATTTTCAAAATGCTTACAAAATTGTATACAAGAGAACTACTTTTGCATTTCATCTTGGTTTTAATAAAAAAGTACTTTAACTTTCAACATCAATTATGAGGCAGAAAGTGAATTCCTTTAGTCTGAGTAGTTAAGTATCTTTTCTTAGGTAAAATTTAGCTGAATTAGAATATTGTTGTCTTGTTAGAGAAACTTAGTATGTATGATTAAAGTTTATTTGTAGATCCAACACAATCTCTCTATTTCAAAAACATGTTTGCATTAAAAGGAATTTTCATCAATTCTTTAGATGAATATCCTACTTTATCCATAAATTTTGATCCATTTTATTCATGAACAAATGTTTTGAATTTTATTTCAAGAACTGTTATGACTAATTAGGTTTTTGTTAAATGATGATAGGGTATACTTTATGCTATTTATGAATAAAGTTAATAATGTTAATAAAGCGCAAATATTTTGTGTCATCTGTGCTTTATTCATAATTTTAGAATATTTAATTCTATCAATTGTCTTGATGGATGATTAATTTAAACTCTTAGTAATCTTTCTTAAATTTCTTTAGTGTTTTACCAAGTTTAATGAAGAACTTGCCTTGTACAGGAATGAAAAGATTCTGATTTATTGACTTAATTTGCTTTTCTAACAAAAGCATATGCCAAATTATTTGTCTTCTAAGCTTGACACTGTTATTTTGGGCATAAAAGATAGCATTAAATAAATATTCACTTATAATAAAATGAAAAGATAGCATATCAAAAATCAGTCCCATAATTTTAAAACAACAAGTTTGAATTAAATTTTTAGATGGTTCTTTTTGTTATTTATTTATTTTTGCAGAAACGTTTCCATACTTTGACTGGTCATCATTTAGGTTAATGAGAGCAGAGGTAAAAGTTAGATTATTTAAAACCAGTTCATATATAGATGAAGCTTAAAGACTGTTCCTAAAAAGAAACAAATATATCCCTATACCACAAGACAGACTATTTGTTAATGATTTTAATACATCCTTTATAATAAACATTTGTCAGAGTTTTATTAATGTTTTTGTTTTTTCTTATTTAAATTAAAATTTGTGAACCCTAATCTGTATGTTTTTAAAAACTTTATTTTTAAGATTCTTAAGATATAGAAATTGTTAACTTTATTTTATTGTCATTTCTGTTAAGAACTTCCTTCAAATTTTACATAAATAATGTCATCACTAAAATAAAAGTATAGAGTAAGATATGAGCTGTTGCCTAATAATTACCCTTAATATTTACATTTAGTAATCTTCTGATAAAGGGAGCATAAATTATGAAGTAACAAATTTTAAGGGTTGCAAATTAATATTTAAGTGAAAAACTAAACGACCTTTTTAAACTCTGACTAATTTTATCAAGGTTTGGAAGAGCTCAGGATGGATTTAAATGATCAAAAAGTCATATAGTTTGTCTACTAAGATCAGAATTTGTTCATCTTTTGATAAAAGTTGCCTTTTAATTTTTTCCTCAAATTAAGATTATTTTAAGATTATTTTAATTCCTACTTTGCTCTTGTTATTTTCAACAATGATTGGTCAAATTGGGAAAACATTTTTGTTCCTACCTAAATATTAATTTGCGTAATTTTTTACCTTATTTTTTATGAGGATTATAAAAATACATGTTAAGGGTGATCATTATGGAGGTCATTTGTAGTATTTCAATAAAAAAATTCTTTACTCGTTTTTTAATATTCACAAGAAAAGTTCATATAAAATGTTTAAACAAATAAAAAAATAACTTTATCAATTTCAATAAATCTGAATGAAAGCTCAAATGTTATTTTCATGCTTTTCTAGAACAAAGTGAAGCATTTGTAATTTAAGTTCATCAATCAAATCAAAATCAATTTATTGTTGACCTTATGAAAGTGTATTAATGAGCATTAAATTATCTTACAAATATTATAACTTTAACTTGATTCAAGGAATTGTATTGCTACATAAAAGCTGGCTGCTTGTCAAATAATTTGTCACCAAATTAGTAAGAATATAGAGATTTAAAGTATTTTTAATGAAAATTTCTTTTTTCAAATTTTTTTAAAGGGATTCTTGTAAAATAATAAAATTTTTTGTGTTTACAGTTTTTATAACAGTTGAAAAAATAAAAGAAAGGAATGTTTTTTTTTTTTTACTCAATTTCTGAAAAAAATATAGGTGAAGATCAGAATCGTAATTATTTAAAAATATTTGTATGGAAAATGTATTATTTTGGTTTAAAGTGCTAGAGATAGGACTTTGGGGGATTGAGCGCTTACCTCCCGATGAGGTAACCCACGTTCAAATCGCAGCGATGACTGGTTGATTTGAATTCTGCTCCTGACTCTCGCCAGCTACAATCTTTACGGGATAGGTGGTTAGAATCCCCTAAACCTGGGAGGTTTTTGGGTAACAACTTCTTTGCTTTATAATTGGTGATACTACTTCTTGGCTTACAATTGCAGTATTCTTGATTTTATAATTAAAAAAAAATTTATTTTTATTGCTTGTTTGAGATCTTTTTGTTTTAAAACCTTCGTATATTTATTTAATTGTAGCAAAATTAAATTTTTTTCTTCATATATTTATTCTATGTTAGAAAATATTTAAACTCTAAAACTCATTGCGATTGACCTTAAAGTAATTGTGTTTGGGTAATGTCTTTGTTTACCTTTGTTTCATTTAGAATATTGAGTTCTGAACAAATATAAAGCCATTTTATTGTTTCTAGCTTTAAATGTAACATATTTAAGTTGGAAAATTATAAACTATGGATTTGGCATGCAAACAGAGACAACAATATGTTTTGTAAATGGACGGAAAAGATAACAGAATCGATCTTAAAGGATGGAAGACGCAATTTTTTTTATATCTAAAACTGAGATAATATTTTAAAATTTAATATAATGTAATAGTTAGACAATATATTTAAACACAAAAATTTTTTATGAAATTTAAATACAATAAATACATTTCCTATTAAAGCTATACTTTTAAAAGTTGACTGTTTACTACAATCCAATCTGAAAAACAAATTGATGAGGTAGATTTTCTATTTGTATTATGAATGCTGAATGTAATATACTAAAACTTTGCAATTTTGATCATGAAGTATTTACAGTTTGTTAACAGCAATTCTTAATTAAATATTATAATGTGATGATAAAAAATTGATAAAATGAGATAGATGAGGTAAAATGCGCATGAAGCTAAGAATTTTATGAATATTTATGTACTTACGGTATTTGACAAAAAATATTTTTTTTCTTGCAACTCATTACAAGATTACTGAACATCCAACAAAATACAATAGAAATTATAAGTTGGCATCAGTCTTTCTATAAATTCAGGGCATTTATTAGCTCTTTTGGCAAGATAAGAGAAAGAGCAGGGTAAATGTGGAGATATGGTAAGCCTAAATATTCCTTAAGATTGTGTAAGGGGCTAGGAAAGGAGCAATATTGATGCACTGCAAGGGCATCAATATTGCAAAAGTCAGTCATGTCCAGATATAAGATAGAGCATTGCCACAGATTTCTTTCTATTCTAAGTACAGTAGGGAACCGATTATCCGGAACGGTCGGGACCATCGCTATTCCGGATAACTGCTTTTTCCGGTTTTCTGAATAGCTACAAAAAGCCGTTTTTTTTATTGTTAAACCCAACAAAAAAAAAATATTTGGAAATAATCTTAAAAATAAAAAAAAACGATGAAGTAATACACTAATGATTATTTCCAAAATGATGGTAAGGTAAACATCTTTAAAAAAAGAAAGAAAAATCGTAAAATCTTATGAAGAAAAAAAAAAAATTTTTTTTTAAATGGCGAGAAAATTTAGCGAATTTCGTTCCGGTTTTTTGATTTTCCGGTTTTCTGATTTCCGGATAACGGGTTCTGTACTTACTTCAATAATCTGTATAAACCATGATTTATTTCTGTTTATATCTGTGAGTTCTTGGAAAATGAGTCTCTAAAGTATTTTTCCTAACTAACTCCTTGCCAATGCTGTGATATTTGAAGGGCAAAAGCCATGCTCATTATCATGGAGTTGCACTCACCATGTGCAAATTGCATTAGTTAGCATTATCTAGTAAGTTTCTTCGGTATTGCGTTTTGTATTATTTTAAGGGCTATGAACTTATATTCATAAATTTTTTTGTGTTGTACCCAGAGAGAATACTTTAATCAAAAAGTCAAATGTTCAAAATAGATCAAAATGCACTTCGTATTTAAAAATATTTAAATCTGTAAAAATATATAAACATATAATGTATATTGGTTTGAAATTATGTGAAAAGCACACTACATTACACATGCAATATATTGATATTTTTACTTTTAAGGACAGTAAAATCAAACTCGCTGTATTTTTATTTTGTTTTTAAAAAATCAAAAGATAAATATTTTTTTAAAATAAATAAAATTTTTCTTATTTTTAATTTCCTTTTTTAATTACGATGCAGAAAATTTTAATTGAATTCTTTTTTTTACCGCCCCCCCCCCCTCTTGAACAATAATTAGCTACTAGAAAACATTTTGACATTTTGAGTTGAAAATATATACAAAAGGAAGAGAATAGATATGTACAGTTTGTTGCATTCTTTTTGAAAGTAGAAAGTCTGATCTTGCTGAACTTCAAAATTGGTTGCGCTGTTTTTCAACAGGTGACTGAAAAAACTTTAAAACAGTGTTTTCTATTGCAAGTCAAGCTGTTTCAACTGACATAGTTAATCGGATATCTGTCAATTTTACACCATGCTATAAATGATGGTTAGTCTGAAAACATTGAATTGTTTTTCTTAATTAGCAGGGCCATTTGTTTGTGAACTTCGTAAAAATTTGAAATCAATGGAGAATAAAATTTTTGATGTAAGCAAAACGCAGCAAACTGTATAGTTCTCCCTTATTTTTCTTTAACTTTTTTTTTATTTTCCTCGTTGGTCTTTTTTTTCTATCTTTCTTAAATTACAACATATTGTATTCTCTACAGCAGAAAACAGTAGTTTTAATGTTTTTTTTTTTTTAAAAAAAATTGATAAATTTTACCCTGTAAAGCATATAAAATAGTTTATGATGTATCTTGAGCCGCTACGATTTGGTGGTCAAGGCACGGAGCTGCCATGGGGAGGGATTAAGTTTCGAAGTTACAATCCCCAGTGACGGCTTGAAGCCCATCTAGAGTTAAATCTATGGGTACCAGCTTGTCTTAGAAGTAAATGCAGTCTGTACTCAATGCTGGCTACGTTGCCCCAATCATGACGTATGTCCTGAAATTGTGGAGCTTGACTTCCATCGTCTTAGGGCCATAACGATTTTTCGCAGGAATGTGTTACTTTTACTATTCATTTTAGGACATTTTCTGCGAGCAACAAAAACTATATGATTGTAACAATTGCTTAATAACGAAGAACATGGTACGTTGCGTATTTAAAAAGTACTTAAAGGTGCTTATTTTCGATTTTCGTTTTTTATAAGCCCTTAATGGTGCTTTTTTCATTGGGCGTTTTTAAATAGTGCTTAATTTTCCCTTTTAAAAAATGAGCCACGTACTATGCAAAAGCATGCTTTTCACATTTTTCTATTCAACGTTTTCACAATTCATTTCGGCGTACTGTCGGTCTATAGCGTATGAAAGCGCCAATCATTTTACATGATTGATTAAATACTTGCGAGTCCGCATGTGCGTCTCCTGAAGTGGGTTCGGTGAGATTATTGCACTCTCATGAGCAAATCTGCTGCATTTTGCAAGATATTCTCAATTTCAGGTTTCATTTTCCTCCCACTGATGTCGAACCGAAAAATCTCTTGATCATTTTATAATGGCTAATATGATCAAGAAAGAAAGTTCTTTGTCAGAAACTAGTTATTTTATCACGATCATGTAAAGTCTTTGAAAATTATTTTGTATTTTGTTAAAGAATATAGTGCTTAAAAATATTTTTGAGTGCTTAAAAAGTACTTAAAAGGTGCTTATTTTTTGTTGAATTGTCTCATTTTGAGCAAATAACCAAAATTAGTCCGATTTCTTCCTTTTTTTTTAATTTCACAATTACTCGTCCGTTTATTACTTCAAAGCTTGGGTTTTTGAGAGTAAAATCAATCCTAATTTTACCAAAACAATTGTTTTTTTAATCGTATTGTTAACAACGGATGCTTCACATGTTTTTCTAACTATGTTTATTTTATGAAATTTACGATTTATCATAATGGAAAAGGGGAGTCAGAAGGGGAAGGAAATTCAATGACTATTTCCATCAATTACTGTATCAGTTTTGGGGCAGGTATCTCTTCCTTGAAAATTATTAATCTATTATTTTTGAGTGCTATTTTGTGACTATTCAGTTAGTTTCAATAACGAGGGTTCAATTTCCTATTATTTTTTTTTTAAATTTCTCTTATTAACTTATTTTACTTAACAGTTTTGCTTTTTAACGTCGAAACCAATCACAGTTTTACCCACACAATCGCTTTGTGAATATGCACAAACAAAAAATTTGTGTTTCATAATGTTTGTTATTGTTTCAAAAAATTCGCAGTAAAATACATTCATTAGTTTAATTGATGAAAGCACTCTGAAGAGAAAGCTACTTGAATGAATATTTTCAATACATCATATTTTTAGTTTTAGGGCCGGTGATCTTTTAGAGGAAATTTAATGTTTTTTTTTTTTTTTTTTTTTTTATTCAGGAAGTTTAAAATATNATTTTTTTTTTTTTTTTTTTTTTTTTTTTCTTTCTTTAGAATATTATTTTTTACACTTGAGCCAATTCTTTTTGTATAATTCTTTTTCTTTCTTTTTGTTCTTCCCTTTCTGACGATTTTCCTTTTTTGATGTCTTTCATTTTAAAACTCTGGTTTTTATGGTTAAAATCGATTTCAATTTCACCCAGATAATCGCATTGTGAATGTGCATGAACGAAAAATGTGTGATTTAGATGTCTTTAGAATAAGCATTGTTCACAACGGAAGTTTTTTTTTTTCACGAAGTTTACCCTACTAGTTAATGTATGAGAGTACTTGGAAAGTAAATTTGAAAATCCTTACTAGGCCATCACTTGTTCAGTTTTAGAGCAGGTAATTTAATATTTTATTCTTTTATTAAAAGGGGGTTTATTATTCTTCATAGAAATGTTATTTTCAGTCGTTTTTCTTGACAAAGGATAAAGAAAGAAGGGACGAAAAATATATGTTTCATATGAGTTAACGACAATGATAGTTTCTCAACATTTTACCCTAGTTTATCCAATACATAGATTCGGAAGGGAAAGCAAATTTTCAGTTTAAAGATAGGTAATCTCTTCTGTGGAAATTTGATATATTATTTTTCGTATTTAAAAAGCAACTTAATATTCTCAAAAAAAAATTCTCTTCAGGGTTATCCTTGATTAATGAAATTGAAGGAAAGGACGAAAAATTTATGTTTCGCGTGTGTTAACCATAAGTTAACAATAATAAAGGAAGTTTTACAAAAGTTACCCTAAAAAATCAAAAGATTAGAGGATTCAGAATGGAAAGAAAATTTAATGAATTTTCCCAATCCATCAAATATTTAAATTGACGAGAAGTATTTCTTCCTTAGAAATTTAATACATTATTTTTCTTATTATAAAAGCAGCTTAATATTCCTTAGAAAAAATTTCTCTTCAGGGTTTTCCTTGACTAATGAAATTAAAGGAAAAGACGAAAAATTTATGTTTTGCATGAGCTAACAATAAAGTTTCACAAAACTTATCCTAAGACATCGAAATGGATGAAATGACTCGAGTAAAGTAAAATTAAAGAATTTTCCTAATCCACCACTTTTTCAGTTTCAGAACAGGTAATTTCAGTGGAAAATTAATATTTTATTCTTTTATTAAAAAAGTGGTCTAATATTCTCCATAAAAATATTCTCTTTGGCTGTTTTTTTAGACAAAGGAAATTGAGAAGAAGAGACGAAAAATTTATGTTTCATGTGAGTTAACAACAGTTTCTCAAAATTTACCCTCGATTATCCAAATACATGAGAGGACTCAGAAGGGAAAGAAAATCGAATGAGTTTTCTCTGTCCATCAAATTTTAGTTTAAGGATAAGTAATCTCTTCGTTGGAAATTTAATATATTATTTTTCGTTTTAAAAAATCAGCTTAATATTCTTTTGAAAAAATATCTCCTCAGTGTTGTCTTTGACTAATGAAATTGAAGGAAAGGACGAAAAATTTATGTTTCGCATGAGTTAACAATAATAAAGGAAGTTTCACAAAATTTATCCCAAAACATCGAAATAGATGAGAGGATTCAGGTAATCTAAATTTATAAAAAAATCAGCATAATATTCTTTAAAAAAAAATTCTCTTCAGGATTTTCTTTGACTAATGAAATTGAAGGAAAGGTCGAAAAATTTATGTTTCGTATGAGTTAACAGTAATAAAGTTTCACAAAATTTATCCCAAAACATCGAAATAGATAAGACGACTCAGGTAAGCTAATGAATTTTCTCAGTCTATCTATCACATTTACATTTTTAAGTCAGGTAATCTTTTCGGAAGGAATTTAATATATTTTCTTATTATAAAAGCGGTATAATATTCTTCAACAAAATTCTCTCATTTTCCTCGACAAAGAAGTTTTTGTTTTGGGGAACTGATTACACTTATAATTATAGATGCTTAAAGCGCGGTGGACCTTTGAGGTGTCAGAGCGTTACGCTATTCAAGCGTTTCTTAAAATGTTGGTGTCTTGATGTCCAAGTAATAAGACTTCATTTCCTGATAAATTGCTCCCCTTTTTATCATGATCCTTTCTTGACTCTCAAATCTTAAGTATGACGAAAGGGAAGTAACAAGGTCAAAGGTTGTATGAATGGGGATGTTGTGTACTTCAAAGGAAGTGCGATATCAAATTACACTAGCGAGTCGGTAAACTGTTATTTGGTCGCAAGGAATATACTCAGTCCATTGCATAATGCTCATGATTTGAAAGTAAAAAAATTCGAACTTCAAAAAATTTTTGAAATAAAAAATTTACTCTGAAATGGACAGCAAATTAATTAGTGCAGTTACTTTTTGGCTTTGTGTTTTATATGTTTGGGATTATAGAAGTGTATTTGGCAATACTTACACAGACAGAGGTAAGTAATTTTTTTTTTCACTCCAATTTGTTTTGAAGTTCAAATACGTTGGTAAACAAACAAAAAAAGAAAAAAAAAAGCAATGTATGAATTAGAATAATCTCCTGAGAGACTATTCCAATTTATACATTTTGTATAACAATATTAAAGGAAATTTACAAAAAAAAAAAAAAAAAAAAAAAAAAAAAATATATAAGACTATTCTATTTTATACATTTTGCATAATAATATTAACGGAAATTTACAAAAAAAAAAAGAAGAAAAAAAAGACAGCACTAGAATAAAAGCTCTTTGTTAAAAATTATTTTAGTGTAACAATCGTTTAAATTAGGGAGGACTTCCAGACCGAATTCAATGTAATTAAATATTTATTCAGATTTAATTATTTTTTTAATAAATTAATTAATTTTAGCGAATTAATTTATAGTTTACAGAAAGGAGCTTTTCTTCAGGCTTCATATTATTTTTTAAAACTAAGATTAGAACTCTTGAGCTAACCTAAAAATGTTCCGAATTCGTAATTATACTGATTGTAATTCTGATATGGAAATAATAATCTTTTATCTATTAATTTTTTACAATTTGTATTTAACTGAAACAACTCCATCTTTTTTGTTAATATACTTAACTCACACGAAATTAATCTCCTGAGAGAGTATTCTAATTTATACATTTTGCATAATAATGATATTATAGGAAATTTACAAAAGAAAAATATTAAAAATTTCATTCCGTAAATTTCCTATTAACTCTTGCACATTAATTTTTTTTTAATAAACTACCCAATTCCATTCGTATAAATAATTAAGGACATAAAGTTCAAAGGTTCAAATTAAATTGGTCGTTAAATTCATATAACTGATAAATTAATGCTTTTTTTGGTATTTTCCCGTTCTTTTTTTCTAGTGCTTTTTTTCGTGATTTCTGTTTGTCCGCTAAAAGTCTAAAAACGCAATTTTTTTCTACTATTTATAAATTCTTTAGCTTTAATATTGTAAGAATTGAAACCGTATTAAATTATTGATTGATTTTAATTATTAAATTTACCGTAAGTGAAAAAGAAATATAAGAGCGTAAAATATTAAAAAACCAGGTAATCTAAATTTATTATTTTTATAATATTGATGAAGCAAGTAATCATAATTTCAAAAAGAATTTTAAAGTTGTTATACTTTGAATTAACATTGATTATATATATGATTAAACTAACAATAATTAAAGTAAAAGCAAAGTAAGTCTGGCAAATTAGCAACGACTACATTTAAGTTACCGTTTTTTATTTAATTACAACTTGATTCTGATTTTGCACGAATGCTTTTCTGAATCACCCGTCTTCAAGGGGTTAAAGTTTGATTTCATTTTCACTCTGAGGGCAAATCCAATGCCTCTTATAACTGAAAGCCTCCACGCGGTTTCTTATAAGTAGTCCGATCTAACCACTAAGAAGGTAAACCAGTTTACGAAAGAGCCATTTAATGGAAAATCTAGCAAAAATAAGAAAGTGGCAGCAAATATATTTCTAAAAATTTGTTTAATTTTTTAATATGATTGGTTTGTCTCATTTACTGGTCTACCACTACAGATTCAATTCTCAAATACGTTTGATAAATTTCTCTCAATTACTTTAAAAATAAAAAAATAAAAATTAGCAACCACATCGACTGCTAAATTCAAAATGTTATCACTTTAAACTTATGTAAATTTCTAGATGTATGGAATAGGGGCCGCTGCGCGGCCCAGGTGCCCAATTTTTCATAAATAAAGTAAGTAAGTAAACTTTTAAAAAAGAATTTGGATTCATGCTCACAACTGGTTCACTTTTTAAATAGTCTGCGCAAACTACTTATAAAAAACAGCGTGGAGGCTTTCTGACGTAGGAGGTAATGGTTGAGATCGATATAATTAAATAATTTCGAAGGTATTTAGATATTTTTCTTTAAAAAAATACATCTCGATAACGATATATTAAAAGATATTCTAACGATACATCATGGATATCATGCTTAATATTAAGTATCGAATACGATAATACCGTGATCATTATTGACGATGATAAGCATAGTTAATATTATCATATTATTATCGAATCTTAACGATAAAGATAATTATCTATTATAATTTTTTAAATATTTACATTTGGGTTAGGAAAATATTGACCAATGTAAAAATAATCTACATTTCTTAAAGTGTAAAAATATCCCGATAAATCGTCAAATATAATCTGAAGATTTATGCCATATTTAAATTCCGATATTGCCCCACATTACTACTCATTTATAACGTTGTTTGCTTGATTTAGTATTTGTCGGAATTTTTTTTTTTTTTTTTTTTGATGCATTGTAAAATTTTCCAAAAGTAAATGAAAATTGACCCTCAGATTTATGTAATTACTTTCAGTTTTTCAAAAAATAAAATAAAAATGAATAAAAAAAATATATATAAATAAATTAATAATTAAATAATAAATAAATAAATAAATTAAAAAAAATAATAGTTGAAATTATAAGAAATAATCAAAATGTAATCTGCAATAATTTATTATTGATTTATATATTTTAAAATGAGAAAAAGCTGAACGGAAGTTCTTTATCAAAATAATGAAATAAACAATTACATGCCGGATGCAATTCCTGCTTTTAATAGTATTGTTTTGATCCGGTGGCGGTATTTCAAGACGCAACTAGTAAATCAATGCTTTATGTTTCAACAAATTTTATTTTTAGTAATTTTTTACTAATTCAGCTAGTTTATTGTGATGCAAAATTTAATAATTCAATTACAACATTAAGTAACATAGAATCAAGAAAAAGCATCGATATTTAGCATCAAAAAGTACCGAAATATCGGTATTATCGAAAAAAATATCAATGCTATTATACGATAATATCAAAACAAAGTATCGATGTCTCATAGTATCGTTACTTATTTTCAATTTATGTTTTAGTTTATTGTTATTGATAGTAATATATTATTATCGTCATCGAATTGTGTTTTAGCGAGCCCCATTTTCCTGTTTTGGTAATTACATAAGTAACTGCGGTTCTCAAAAGTAATGATTTATACTAATATCCAGTAAGGAAGTTAATTATCTAATTATGGTTTGGATAAGCAAAAATTTAAGTACTTTATCATAAGAACAATGTATGCAGTTGCCTTATTTAACTAATAAATTAATAAGAATGTAAAACAAAGACAATTTTCTTTTTCATTTTTCGGACGGAATTATTGAAACCAAGTACACCGAAGAGCCATTACATTATGACCACCCTGCTAATAACATGTAGGGCCACCTTTAGCCCTCAAAACTGCTAGCACACGCCGTGGCATTGATTCCACAAGGTACTGATAGGTAGTCTGAGGTATCTGGTACCAAGCGCTCACCAACTGGTCCTGCAATTCCCTCACATTGCGAGGGGGTAGCGTGGCAGCACGAATTTGGTTTTCCAAGTAGGACCACAAATGCTCTATTGGATGAAGGTCAGGTGAATTTGGGAGTCAAGACATGACTTGAAAGTCCCTGATATGTTCCTCGACGATTCGACCCTTATGACATGGTGCATTATCTTGTTGGTAAACACCATCCCCCGCAGGAAAAACTGTAGCCATGAATGGGTGAATCTGGTCTGTAACTATGTTCAAGTAGCTTACAGACGTCAGGGATTGTTCTATGAGGATTATGGGTCTTAATGTGCTCCATGAAAACATTGTTCCTGGGCGAGAAATCATGAAAACCTGGGCAAGCCCATTGTTATAGATGGAGGGTGGTCATAATGTAATGCCTCTTCGGTGTATAGCATAATAGAAAAGAAGTATCGATTGGAAACATCGATTCTTTTTCACTATATCGATGTAAGTTTTTTGTAGTAAGTTAATTGCGCTTGATGATTTTCAGGACAATTTTCTGCACACGGGAAAAGAAAGAGCAGTTTGACATAGTACTCAGACATTCGCTTGTCTTTTATAATTATTTGTATTTGGGCCGTGGTGGCTCAGGAGATAGAGCGCTTGCCTCCTAATTAGGTCACCTGGATTCGAATTCCAGCGATGGTTGGTGGATACGAATTCGTCACCCGATTCACACTGACCGCAGTGCTGACGTAAAATATCTTCAGTGGTTAGCGGATCATGGATTAGAGTCCCCTTGACGTCAGATTAATCATGAGAGGTTTTCGTGGTTCTCCTCTTCCAAAAAATCAGCCACGAAGGCAAAATTTCACCCAATACTTGATTCAGGAGTTCTCTTGTCTTCAGGATTGGGTTCAAAATTTCATGACTACGACTTTATATATTGCTTTCGACTTAATTACAGTGTTAAAGGGCCTAGACTTTTGATTGGTGTACGGATTAAAATTAAAGATTCCAAACGCTCCATTTTTTTAAGGAGTTCGAATCCGTCGAAAAATAAAAAGCATGTCTATTCATGCACTGAGGAAAAAAACCTGTAAAATTACCGTGCTGTATTGTAATGACATTTCTGATAGTGACATATTTCTGGTTAATGAGACCAAAATATTAGGAATTTAAACCATTCATTTGGTAAATTTTTCGCTCATATGGTAACGGTTAACCGAAAAAGCTAGGTTGCAAGGTATCATGATAAACTTACCGAATTCTAGCACATTTACCAAATCATATCATATATTATAAAACCATATTTTATTGTTAATACAAAACTGAAAAATAAATTTAATGGAATAAATTGTTTTCATGCCAGGTTGCAAGGTATCATGATAAACTTACCGAATTCCAGCACATTTACCAAATCGAATCACATATTATAAAACTTTATTTTATTGTTAATTTTACTAAAATCATTACCAAACATTTCAGTGAAAAATTCCGAGCTTTTTGGTGTTCCCATAGAGGCAGAAAGACTGTAAATTTGATCATATTCTGGTAGTTTTGACTTTTTTTCTCGTCGTGGAAGTATTGAACAAAATGAATGCTCAAAATTCAGGAATTTTTACCGTTTCCCGTTAAATGCTCCATCTGAATATTTC